TTTAAATTAGTAAACATTTTTATTAATTCAAAATTAGAGAGAAAAATTGAAATTTGAAATGAAAACTAAATAATAGAATTTAGTTTTAAATTTGAAATTTAGAAGCTGAAAGAAGAAAAATGTTAAGAAAGCATTCCAAGTCGGAATTTTTCAATTTGAAATCGATATTGAGAAGGAACCCTCCTGCTTCTGGAAAGGGATCGAGCGTCCCCTGGATGTGTGAAACCTTGTATTCGCAGAATGTAGCAGACAAATGCATATAGCTGTGTATATATGTGTGTGTGAAATATATTTATATGTGGCGGAAACGGGTAAGAAAGTGTGTGCAGTTATATACAGAATGTAGTTTTCTTGTACCAGTGTGTATAGAGTGCAGACTGTAGTTACATATATCTTTAGGGTAGGGCAGTGGAAATTTCCACTGTGCTCGTCGAGACGGTCAATACTCCTTCGCGGCATCAGCGGTTCTATATATATACACACATTTGTACTTGTAGCTTCGTATTATTGTGTACATACGTATAGATTGCCTCAAGTTTCACACTTGCCACACTTTCTCACACTTTTCAGTTGACAGCAAAAATATAATAATTAAGAAAATCATTCTTATTAAGGGAATTTGAGAGAAAAAGTGGTTTCGTAAATTACATCGGATTTAAATCACAATTTTCTTAAGGATATCAAATTGAGACAAAAAATGCATCAAAATTGTTGCATTGCAACAATTTTGATATATATTTTTTGTCTCAATTTGATATCCTTGTGAAATCTGTGAAAAGTAAAGAAAATTTTGTGTCTGGATTGTTTAAAAATGACTCTTCTCTGAATTTTGCATAATTTTTTTATTTACTAATTTATTATTGTTCATTAAATTTTATTAGTTTTCCAATATATCATGAATATGATTTGAAAATGATGTTTTATTTCAATAATTATTTTTTTACTGTCGTTTAAGAACCAATCAAATATTCTTATAGGTGCAAATTCTATAAAACTGCGAATTATTGATTCCTTGAAGTAATATTATTAATTATGTAAGTAATTACAATTATTTGTTATTATTTATGTGTTGTATTGTATACAACACTCTAAATTTGAATTAGTGAAAAATAACTAATTATATAGAATATAAATATTTATATGCAGAAAACTAATTACTATAGTAAATAAATAATTAAGAAAATAGTCAAATTTGACTATTTAGCAAAAATTTTAGTAACAAATTTAAAACTTAAAAAATAAATTAAAATTTTATAATTAAATTATTTCAGTTAATTTTAAGAATTGACAAAAATAATTTTCGAATTGAATTAATTAAATTAATGTATTGAAAATAAACTGGGATACATTAATTTTAGAATAAAGTTAATTAAAATTATTTTAAGATGTAACTAAGTTAATTACTTTTAAAAATAAATTGAATAAATTAATATTAGAATGAAATTAATTAAAGTAATCTTAGAATTAAATTAATGAAATTAATTTTAGAATTAAATTAATTTTAATAATAGTAAACTCGCTGAATGAATTTAATAATGAAGTTAATTAAAATTATTTTAAGAAGAAATTAATTGAATTACTTTTGAGATTAAATTTGTCAAAACTGACTAATTGCGATTAAGACATTGCACAATCGTTACACTGTATTTATTCAAGATATTATCTATACAACGAAATCATAAATTGTACGCTTCAACTTGCAATGATTTTTGTCAATATTTTTTAATAAATTTCCAAGATTATACAATTTCTCTATCTTATAAACTTATTGACAGTAATGATAAAAAAAATATATATTTATGTATATAATTTGTAATTAATTTGAGGGAAAAGTACCAAGACGGAAAATTTTTGGAACCAGTATTGGCAATTTCCGGCATATGATGACTGATGAGAAATAAAATGATTACAATGGAATCATTAAATGCGATTTATCAATAATGATAAGATGAAAGTTATATTGAATTTTATATCTATAAACGACGAAACGAACTTCCTATTAATGAAAAATAAATAGTCATAAAAAATAATTATTATTATTAATATTAATTAAAAAAAAATATTATTAATAGTAATTATTCATTAAATACTTTTTATCTTCTCTCTAAATTTGAATTAGTAATAAAAATTTTTACTATTTCAAATTTAATTTTTATTATTTCTGTTAATTTGTATCTTATATAAAAAATTATTTTGTAAATTAAAAAATTATGGTTTAAAGAAAGCAAACTTCTTAATTTACATTATTTTTCATTACATTTTAGAATAATTTTTGAAAATATTTATACGAAAAACAAAATATTCACTATTTTATTATTATAATTACTAATAATTATAGTAATTATAGTTGTTTATAGCAAAATAAATAATTATATGGGGAAAGAAAATATGAAATATGAAAGTGGAGAAAAGAGAGAAAGGATAGTAGAAAAATTTATTTGGTATATAAATATAATAATAAAAAAAATTATTTAAAAAATTGAATAAAATAAAAACAATATTTATTTTGCAATAAATGAAATAAACAACATTAGTGAAGTTTACAATGTTCACAATCAACATTTTAGAAGAAAAAATATTTTCTACTCAAATTTCTCTGTTTTAAAAATTTGTTTACATTGCTTCTTGATTGAAAATCACAAGAAAAAGAAATTTGTAAATAAAAAATATTATTTTCTGGGTAAAAAGTACTTTTTTCCGACAATCGTTTATCAATAAAATTGTAAACTTTACCCATGTAATAAATTAATAAATAAATAAAAAAGCCCACACTGAAAATTTGAAAAAAACCTACACAACTTTATTACAAATTTTTTTTACCCAAAAAAATTACTTACAATGAAAGCACATAAAAAGTAATGGATTTCGGTCTTTTTTAAACAAAATAATTGTAACTCGGTTTTTAAATATAAAGCAAATAATAAATAAAAAGATATAAAAAAATATAAAAAAAATGAAAGAAATAAAAAAGTAATTTAGGTAAATAGATTTCAATAATAGATGTAAATAGAATAACCCAATTGTACAGTTCATTGAAGAATAGTGAAAAATAGTGAAAAATAGAATGAAAAAATACGGAAAAACTGCAATTTTTGAGGAAAAACCTTTAAAGGTCGTGGTAAAGCCCCGCGGTTATATTTCACATGAAAGGTTACGGCGGAATAGATTGCAAGGGCAAAATGAAAGCGCAAAAATGAAAATCGATGTCACCAATCTACTTTTCGACATACGTGAGGAACCGCACGTAAATAGGGCAACGGATTAAAAAAGAAAAAGGGAACTCTTCATACACCTTATCTGCTTAAATTAGTGATGGATGATAAGAACACAATATCATATACAATTTTCACATATTATTTTAACTGTACAAAAAAATCTTGTGTTCAAATTAAATTTTTTACAAGTACCAATTTTAATCATTTTTAAAGATGATTCACTTTACGTTACAAACGTATCATTGTTATTAATTTATTAATCACGTATGAAAAGAAAAGATAACACATTTTTTTCTTATTATATTTACATTTTCATTCATGAAAACGAAAATAATGTGAAAAATATATTTCATACGATAAAATTCTCAAAGATATGGTGAAAATCATTACATTGTGTAGGTATTTAAATAAAGAATAGAATCATAAAAAATAACTGTCACTAAAATTTAAATTTAAAATTTATGTTAATATTATTCTAAGGAGAGAAAATTTAATAATAAAATGTAAATTGCGACAAAGACAACAGTTGGTACGTGGAGTTTTTATCAGGAATCGATAATACTCATAGTGCTGTCATCTAATGGAAAATGAGAGAAATTGTTTACGCTAATAATGAATTAATAATTTACCATTAAGTAATAAAACAGAAAATTATAAAAATTGGAAGATTAATTACAATTAGTTGAAAGTATAAATAAACAAAATTTTTAATTCCAAGAGTAACTTTTTTCTAGTTTTTTTTTATATAAATGTCTCTCAAGTTTTAAACGTTCCAATAAAAGGACAATATTTTAAACATATGCAATGAATAGCAAAATTTCTGAAGAATTTGAAGATTATGATACAAATTTTATAAATATAACATAAAATATCAAATTTTAATTAAATATTGAAAAATGTCCATTTTACCAATGAAAGAATGTTGACCAGTAAAAGAACAGTATTGTATTTTCCAGTGAAAGAACATATCAAATTTATATTAATACAGTGTCTAAAAATAACAAAAATTATATGAAAAACGTTAAAAATATTCTGAAACAATTTTGCAACTTACTATTATTCATATTTTCGTGATTACACAGCCAGAAATATTATTTAATTGCACCTGAAACTTGTAATCTTTTTTCTGTTTATGCTATATTTGTTCATTTGTCATGTTCATAACCCACCAAAGTATTAAAAAATTATTTTCAGAAATAACTTGCATATTGAATCTATTTTTTTTATCATAAACTATATTTTGAAAAAATAAGGAACTAAAAAATATTTTTTTTATTGTGCTGAAAGATATAATTTGTGACATATCGTGATAAATAATCAATTTGTTGCATTAAAATGACTGCATATATGGTCAAAATTCACTATCCTTTTAATTCCAAACCAATGTCATTTTTGAAATTTTGTGTAAACATTTTAATCTGTTTTAATCAACCTCTTCTTACCTGGTGACCCACACGGATAGATTTTTTCTCAGATCTCCAATATGAAAGAAACTATATTTATATATATTATTGGTTCTTTTTATACCTATTGTCCATAACAATTTTGCTATAAAAGTTCCAGCCCGCTGGCACACCGGAGTTATCAGTTATAAATGTAAAAATTTCAGATTGCTGAAAATGTCCAAAAATTTTCAAACCGCTGGACAAAATTCCTCATTACAAGAATCAAGGATACTTGACACGTAAGAAAATATTTGCACTTAATTTCCTGTTTCAAATTATTCAGAGAAACATGGTTTACATTTTTTATAATAATTATTGTAATAAATGATAATAAACTCACCGCAGGAGGCTAACTCGATCCCAGTTTTACACTTGGGTAGTGTTACTTGCTAGGATGTATTGCTAGGATGATGATATTGACTTTTACTTTATTATAAATAATAAATTAATATTTAAGAACATTCGATGGTCTCTGAGATTTGTAGGTTATGTGCGACTTACAGTTATCGCCCAAGAAAAATGGCACTGTACGTTTGAAATGACGTGAAATTAGTAAACAACCTTTTTCGAACTAGTTTTTCTCTGCATACAGGCACTTTTTACAAAATCTGACAATATACATTTGTCACAAATGTTTTTAATTGCCTGAATTCAAAAGATTTTGTTAATCCATACAGAAACACAGTTGCACGATTCGAAATACAAAAGTAATGTAATGACTGGCGGCAAGACGTATTGTTACAGCCATTTTGCCAGCAGAGGGCAGAAGCATGCAGAGAGCGTAAAGGCTCAGCTGTCAAAATGATTCGCATTACATTGCTATGTAATTCCAATGCTGCAACCGTGTTGCTATAGGGATTAACAAAATCTTTCGAATTCAAACAATTAAAAACATTTGTGACAAATGTACGTTGTCATATTTTGTGAAAAGTGCCTGTGAACAGAGGGAAATTTGTTAGAAAATGAATGTTTAATAATTTCACGTCATTTAAACCGGTCAGTGCCATATATATTTGTTGGGTGATAACTGTTAGTCGTACATTATCGACAAATTTAAGAGACCATAGAACACCGTTAAATTACATAATTATTAAACAATTATTATTTTCGAATCTGATTTTCGTTGGAAGAATTCCGGTTTACACGATCAGTGGCGCCAACTACAACTCAGCCGTCACTTATAAGTCAGGAGTACTACAGTCGATGCATACAGGTGCATACAGGAGTACTACGCGAGTACTACACGAAATTGGTAAGTTTACTTAATTTATTTGAATAGAGTAGTATAAAATATATTCTATTATACTATTTTTTATATCCATTTGACAGATTAAATGTTCTTTTCACAACATTCTTGATTATTTGTGCTTTATACATTGTTCGAGATTTTTTAGTACCAACATAACCTATAATAAACATCACTCTGTTATCGCGCCGTGCGCTTGACGTGATATTTGTTAAATTATTTATGATATTTCATTATTTGTCTTTATTTTATTGTTTTTGTTTATTTTGTTATTGTTAAAGAGAATTTTGACTCGCTATAAATATTAAACGAATTTAATTATTTGAAGAAATGATTAATAATATGAATTACATGAAGTTCAATAATTGTCGGACCTATAAAAAGATGCAAATAAAAATTATTAAAAAATATAAATAAAAACATGGGGTAAAGAAAATATTTTATTTTTAATTGTTGCTAATATTAATGAAGTAATAATTATTTTTGTATACTAATAAAACTTATTTATGATTCTTCCTTGCAACATAAAAATATTTAACAATAGTAAAATATATTTTTCTCAGTTAATTATTTTTTGTAAATTATTGGAATTAATTATTCTATTATATGAATAAGAATCATTATAATGCCTATTAGAAAAATAATTAAGAAAGTTTGTCAATTATCAGTTACAATTTTATAAAAAAAATTTTTTTGCTTATTGAAATTGAAAATAAATTTGAGTATATAATGAGTAGAGAAAATATAGAGAAAATAATTAGTGAATATAAATTGATTATAGTAAAAATATTCAATATAGTAAGCAATTAAGTTTAATTTTAATATATTTACAAAAAAGGAATTCTTTTGTTTCTAAGAAAAATGTTTCTTATTTTACAGTAAGAGTGTGAAAAATCAGGAAGGCAGGAAGCATGTGAAGAAAAGCTGGTTCCAAAGAAGACAAATAGAAAATATAATGGACGAGTCTACAAATGGTGAGTCCCTCCTGTCTTCATGTAGCGGAGGCCGGTTGTAATAAAATTGAAAAATTGCTTTGTGACTGCTAATTGAGAATCAGTTGGAAAATAATTTTCAAAATTCTTAATTAAGTTTTCAAAATAACTTCTTCAATTAATTTTTAATTTTCCAAAGTTTATAATTTTTCAAGAAATATTTATTATCAATTCTGGTAGAGGTTTATAAAAAATTCACTGACTCAACATTAATTTCTCCACAGTAAAGTCTTCATAGTATTTTTTTGTAAATTATTTATTTAAATAATTGAATAATAATAATTTGAAAAATTTGAATCTAACTGATTTCAATTGTCTTAAACTTTTAAAGACATTAATTTTTATAAAATGTCATCGAAAAATTCAAAAATAATTTAGAATAGGATGTTAACAAAAATTTTTCTTTTCAGGATTTTAAATTCGAATTGCGAATTGTTTGTTATCAAAAGTCAAAAATTTCCGAATTCTTTGCCTTTGTTGAAATTTTATTTTCTCCACTTTGTCACTTGGCAATTTTTCCCATCTTAATGCATGATTTTATATATATTACATGAATATTAGTATTGTTAATATTCTTACTGACTTTCCGTCTCCTTCAAAACTTCATAAACTTTATTTTTTACAAAGAAAAATATAAATAATTAATGACAGCAAAAAATTATTACGATTGTCACTCCATGCATTAAATTGATAAATATATTTTTATAAAAAAAAAACGTGTGCGGGGAAACGAAATTACTAGGAAAATATTAAGTTAAATAATAATTATTATATTTGTTTCATGATTCTTGTACAGGCACTTTTACTTAAAATTATTCGTTTAAAAAGTTACATAACAAAATAGTATACAAGATAGATATTATCTTGTATAACAGCCATTAACAGCCACAATTTGATTTCTTCTTTTTTACTTATTTACAAATATTTTTGTATTATTTAAATAGTTTTGTGGACAAGTAAAAATATTATGGAACCATATTAAAATATAGAAGGAACTTATAAATTTTTTTTTGCAATTGATTTTCTTTTATACAAAAGTCGTTGAATAGTTTACAATATGTAATCTTCTATCAGAAATACTCGTATAAAATTTGTGATTTTATGAGTATACATTAGGTTTATGATATGAAAACGTATCTAAAAGAATTTAAACAAAATTTTTATCCTAAACTTTTGTCCTATATTTTTGGTCCATCATTATTCATTTTGGACAGTAAACACATTTAATTTTACAAAAAAAAACGAATAATAAATAAATCACAAAAATCTGAAAGAGTATTAAAATACTCGAGTTAAGAAATTTGATTTTTAATTAAAAATTTTAAATTTTAAATTTAAATTTAAATTTAAAAATTAAAAATTTTTAATTTAAGTTATTTTATAGTCTGTTTAAGTTGGTTAAAATTCCTATCAAGCACCCGAGAACAATTTGTTTCAGTCTATTAATCACATATACACTTTTTCTTTTCTCTCTTAAAAATATCATTCAAATCAAACACATACAACATGAATTAAAATCTCATTATTCTATAGACTCTTTCATTGTTATTCATAATCGTAAAATAAAGAGTTTGTTATTGTAATTTAAAAAAAAGAAACTAAACTTAACAATACAAAAGTGACTAAGTACACTTGAATTATTATTCCTGCGACAAATCAAAATAAAAAAAAACAGATATACAATAATACTGAGTCTTTACCCGCGTCTCTATAATTGCGACCTAATAATTTTTTTCTATATTTTGAAAGAATAATTTATTTTTCTAGTTTTCTCTTTCTTTTTCTTTCATATATTTGAATATAGAAAGTATATTTTCAATGATTGGTCGCATATTACCAACTTTTACGTGACGAGAACAGTTTTTAACATCTGTTACAAAAAAAAAAGAGAACTTTGTCTTTAAATAAATTTATGAACGATGTCCTATTTCGTCACATGCGAATTATTGTTTATTTAAAAATTCCTAAAATTTTTAAAATTTAAAGAGATGTCGATATATGATGAAGTTCGTAACTTTTTTGCGCTACTGATTTTAAAGCTTCTGCCATTGAATTTCCTGTTTCTTGTACCATACTTTTTAGAACGCTGTTCGTTTTTTGCATCAATAAATGTGGATGATCGAATTCCTGTAAATTAAAAAGATTAAATTTAATTAAATATTTAAATTGAATTTTAGTGAAATTTTGTTATTAAAAACGAATGTCCCTAAAATTAGCGCCGAGAACTTTTTATCGGGGTTTTTAGAGATAAAAAAGACACTAATTTCACTTCTTTCATTTGTCTCGAAAGTTATGACTCTTTCGACTTTTTTCGACTATTTTCGACTATTTTCAAATTCTTAAAATTGTTTTATCTTAATTTTTTAAAATTCAATTACTTTCAAACAAAGTAAATTAAAATTTTTTAAAATTTACTTTTTTAGACTTATTAAAATTGCGTAGAAATCATTTCTAATTAAAATTCTTCATAAAATTGATTACTTTTTTATAGTTTTTAAAAGATTTTATCAAATTTCAATTATTTTTCAAACATTTTACCAAATTTCAATTATTTTTAAAAGATTTTATCAAATTACAATTATTTTTCAACGATTTTACCAAATTTCAAATTATTTTAAAAATATTTTATCAAATTTCAATTATTTTTCAAAGATTTTACCAAATTTCAATTATTCTTCAAAGATTTTATCAAATTTCGATTATTGTAAAAAGATTTTATCAAATTTAAATTATTATTTTTTAAAGATTTTATTTAATTTCGATTATTTTTCAAAGATTTTACCAAATTTCAATTATTTTTTAAAAGATATTACCAGATTTGAATTTTTTGGATATTTTCTAATTCTATATAATTGTCTTTTAAAACTTATTTTTAAATATTTAAAAAAAATTAATATTAAGAATTTTTTAAGAATTTTTTAATTAAAATTTTTGAAATAATATTCTACCTTAATATTTTTAAAAAGAGAAATGGACAGTTTCAATTATTATAAAAAATTGAATTTTTGTATTTAAATAATTGAATTCTCGAAGAGGTTTCGGAAAGTTATTAAAAATTAATGTAGATAATTGATTGACAGTTGAAGTTTAGTTAAAAGTTGTAGAAACTAATTTGATTTTGAAAGGGTTATAGTTTTTTTCTAATTTTAATTGACTAAAGCGACTTTTTTTGCTCGTTAAAAGTCGATCCGAGGCCTGTATTTTCTTATCCTAAAACTTTAGGAAAATTATTTTATTCTTTTTATTTTTGCAAAAAGAAAAAGTTTCATTTTGATTTCAAGAAAAGAATTATTTTTCGTTGCTCACCGTCGACACTAACTTCTAATGGGTCCTAAAATTTTGAACGTACAAATTTTTTCTAGTGAAAAAATGGAAATACTGCAACTGAAAACAATTTAAATTCAAAATTTTTACTTATTTGAGAATTAACTTTTTAATATAACAAAACAATATCTTTTAACAAAATACGAATTTAAAAAAGTAATAAAAATATTGTCGTTAATTTTAACTTTAAAAAATTAAGGGACATTGACGCTAACTTCACGGGTCTAAAACTACAGAGTGATAAAATTATTATTTCTATTTGTTATTATTTTGAATGAAGAAAATTTCTCTTACCACAACATTGCCAGCGTCCATTACCAAAATTCTATCGCTATCCATAACGGTATTCAATCTATGAGCAATTGTAAGTACTGTGCATTTTTCAAATTTAGTTCGAATTGTTTTTTGAATTAATTCATCGGTTCGTAAATCAACATTGGCAGTGGCTTCATCGAGAATCAAAATTGGATTGTTTCTAGCAATGGCCCTAGCTAGACACACCAATTGTCTTTGGCCAACACTTAAATTACTTCCACCTTCATTAACGTGTGCCTCAAGTCCAATTTCTTTGAGTTCAACTTCTTCGAGAGCTTGCCATAGAACGTTATCCTCATAAGCACTGAAAGGATCAAGATTTTTGCGCATTGATCCTGCGAATAGAAACGGTTCTTGAGGAATTATACTGATCTTTGAACGAAGATCGTGAAGTCCAATTTCTCCTGTTTCAATTCCATCAATTTCCACTTGTCCTTCAACATTCGCAAGGCGAAATAGAGCTGAGATTAATGACGATTTTCCTGCTCCGGTACGTCCGATAATACCAATTTTTTCCCTCGACTTAATCACAAAATTGAGATTTTTCAGCACCGGCGGTTCTTCCGGTGCGTATCGTAAGTACACTTGTTTGAATTCAATTTTTCCCGCTTCTGGCCATTCTTCCTTTGGCTTCTTTTCTGGTTTACTCTCCAGGGCTGGTTCACTTTCGATTTTACTGAAATATATATTTTTTTTCTTCAAAAGATTCAAATTCAAACCTTTTTGAAATTAAACAACTTATAATAATTAAAAATATCAGGAATAGTTGAAAATACAAACCTGTACTCCAGTACTCGTTCGACTGATGTCATTTGATTTTCCAATTCTGCGCTTTGTCGCATTCCCCACTGGAACATTCCAGTGAGACCGATACTTTGAGTTATTGCCAATCCAACACTTCCGGCTTTCGTATCGTCCTCTGCTCCAAAAGCAAGAAAACTCAAAGTAACCAGAGCAATGTAGAGGAGGCAGAAAATATCCAAATAAAAACCAAAAGCTCGTGAAGATGCTATGAATATAAACCATGCTGACGAATGCAAATCCTGATGTTGGTCGAATTCCTTTGTGAGAATTTCTTCCGCTTGAAATGCGCGGATTGTCGTCATTCCCTGTAGAGTTGCGTTCAAATGACCAAATACTGGCGAACGAGCTATTTAACAAAGCAAATCGCAGAATTAGTTTTTAATTCAAATTAAAAAAAATATATAACTAAACAAAATATTTTTTTAGGTCTCTACAAAATTAACATTGTTGCTTAACGAAAAAAATTATTGTCCCTTTTGGGTAACTAATTTAGCTTTTATTCACTAACAACCTTTTTATCATTTTGTATTTTGTTCGAATTCAAAATCTATGAAAAAATTTATCTTTTTGATTTTGTACAAAGAAATCATTTTTTACTATTAGCGCCAATGATGCTAACTTTTAGAGACATTATAATATTTTGATAAAATAAATAAAATAAAAATAGTATTCGAAAATACTTACTGACACCTTCGAGTCGTTTAACACTGCGACTAGTCGCGAGATAGAAAACTCTTAGATAATAAAAAATAATTCCAATAATGATGGTCGGTATCAGGAGGAAGTAATTAGAGATAGCGACAACGACAATTATTCCCAAAAGAGAGAGACCAATTTGAACACAATCGATCAAGGCAACTGGTAATATTTCATCAATAGCGCCCATATCCTTTGAGAATCGATTAAGTACTCTGCCTGATGAATTGGTATTGAAAAATCTCATTGTCGCTCTGCTAATGCAACGGAACATTGTATCGTGAAGTTTCTTCGATGCTCTCATGCACATGAGGAAAAATGAGAATGAACGCATTAATGTCACTGTCACTGTCAAGACAGTTAATACCGAGAAAATATAAATGCAAGTCTCCCGAGAAAATGGACCATTCCAGTTTGACACATCAGTTCCATTTATGCTCGACTGTAAAAAAAAAAGTTGACAAATTTAATTCAATTAGAAAATTTAGAAATTAATTTTATATTTAGAAAATTTAATTATCTTGAAAAAAATAGAAAAAAATAATATTTTGTTGCAATGTTCGAAAGAAAAGTTGAAAAATTTCAAATTTTTGAAAGCAAGTTGAAAAAAGTCGAAAAAATCTTTCTATATCCAACATATGTAAATTTCTTTTTTTTTGTATAAACTTACATTTTCCTCAATGTTTACCCAGAAGGCAATGAAATAATCTCCACCACTGGCAGCGAGTTGAGATAAAATGAAAAGTATGAATACGACAAATATCGTGCAATAATTTCCTCCTGCTTTAAAGTAACCGCCATAAACCCATCCACCAATGTTGCCTTTGGTTCTTGTTTCCTCTACCTAAAAGAAAATTTTTCGAGTTATTTAGAATAGTCTTTTTTTCGTAAAGAATATTTTTACTGAATTACAAAATAATACCTCTGCCGGATCGCCTGCCTTGGCGGTGTCATTTGGATTGAAAGAGCTAATGGAACTAACGCTTCCTTGTCGCGATATAGATCTGTTCTCCACCACAGAGGTATTCATTGTTTCTTCTTGTGTTTGCGACTCCAAAAGTTGGCCAAAGTCAATGCCTAAATCTATTAATTCCCTGAAGGTTCTGTAACGAAAGAAAAAGAAGTCAAATAATTATAATACAGACGAAAATTAAGCAAAGAAAATACTTTACTAAAATTTTGAGCGTTCAAATGAAAACAATTTTTTCCTGTATGAATATTTCCAAAAATTACTGTAATGAAATATACATTATAATAATCGTAAGTTTCCTTTCCGTTAGCAAATTATCTGCATTCATTTGTTTGTTTTGAAAATTAAATTTTGTGGGTTAAGTGTTGGCATTTTTTATATATTTTTTAATGTCAAACTTTTTCATGTGGAAAATACTTTACTTATTAAATTGTCTCGACTCTTTGGTAAAAAATCTAAAATTATCAAAAATTCGAAAAATTTCAAAAATCCGTTTTTCTTAAAATTCAACATTTTTTCCTCTCTTTTATGGGATTTAGCTTCATTATTTTTGTGCTTTTGGAAAATACTTTACTTATTAAATTGTCTCGACTCTTTGGTAAAAAATCTAAAATTATCAAAAATTCGAAAAATTTCAAAATTCGTTTTTCTTAAAATTCAACATTTTTTCCTCTCTTTTATGGGATTTAGCTTCATTATTTTTGTGCTTTTGGAAAATACTTTACTTATTTAATAGTCTCGACTCTTTGGTAAAAAATCTAAAATTATCAAAAATTCGAAAAAATTCAAAAATCCGATTTTCTTAAAATTCAACATTTTTCCTCTCTTTTATGGGATTTAGCTTCATTATTTTTGTGCTTTTGGAAAACACTTTACTTATTTAATAGTCTCGACTCTTTGGTAAAAAATCTAAAATTATCGAAAATTATCAAAAATTCAAAAATCCGATTTTCTTAAAATTCAACATTTTTTCCTCTCTTTTATGGGATTTAGCTTCATTATTTTTGTGCTTTTGGAAAATACTTTACTTATTTAATAGTCTCGACTCTTTGGTAAAAAATCTAAAATTATCAAAAATTCGAAAAAATTCAAAAATCCGATTTTCTTAAAATTCAACATTTTTTCCTCTCTTTTATGGGATTTAGCTTCATTATTTTTGTGCTTTTGGAAAATACTTTACTTATTTAATAGTCTCGACTCTTTGGTAAAAAATCTAAAATTATCGAAAATTATCAAAAATTCAAAAATCCGATTTTCTTAAAATTCAACATTTTTTCCTCTCTTTTATGGGATTTAGGTTCATTATTTTTGTGCTTTTGGAAAATACTTTACTTATTTAATAGTCTCGACTCTTTGGTAAAAAATCTAAAATTATCAAAAATTCGAAAAAATTCAAAAATCCGATTTTCTTAAAATTCAACATTTTTTCCTCTCTTTTATGGGATTTAGGTTCATTATTTTTGTGCTTTTGGAAAATACTTTACTTATTTAATAGTCTCGACTCTTTGGTAAAAAATCTAAAATTATCAAAAATTCGAAAAAATTCAAAAATCCGATTTTCTTAAAATTCAACATTTTTCCTCTCTTTTATTGGATTTAGCTTCATTATTTTTGTGCTTTTGGAAAATACTTTACTTATTTAATAGTCTCGACTCTTTGGTAAAAAATCTAAAATTATCAAAAATTCGAAAAATTTCAAAAATCCGTTTTTCTTAAAATTCAACATTTTTCCCTCTCTTTTATGGGATTTAGCTTCATTATTTTTGTGCTTTTGGAAAATACTTTACTTTTTAAATTGTCTCGACTCTTTGGTAAAAAATCTAAAATTATCAAAAATTCGAAAAATTTCAAAATTCGTTTTTCTTAAAATTCAACATTTTTTCCTCTCTTTTATGGGATTTAGCTTCATTATTTTTGTGCTTTTGGAAAATACTTTACTTATTTAATAGTCTCGACTCTTTGGTAAAAAATCTAAAATTATCAAAAATTCGAAAAAATTCAAAAATCCGATTTTCTTAAAATTCAACATTTTTCCTCTCTTTTATGGGATTTAGCTTCATTATTTTTGTGCTTTTGGAAAATACTTTACTTATTTAATAGTCTCGACTCTTTGGTAAAAAATCTAAAATTATCAAAAATTCGAAAAATTTCAAAAATCCATTTTTCTTAAAATTCAACATTTTTTCCTCTCTTTTATGGGATTTAGCTTCATTATTTTTGTGCTTTTGGAAAATACTTTACTTATTAAATTGTCTCGACTCTTTGGTAAAAAATCTAAAATTATCAAAAATTCGAAAAATTTCAAAATTCGTTTTTCTTAAAATTCAACATTTTTTCCTCTCTTTTATGGGATTTAGCTTCATTATTTTTGTGCTTTTGGAAAATACTTTACTTATTTAATAGTCTCGACTCTTTGGTAAAAAATCTAAAATTATCAAAAATTCGAAAAAATTCAAAAATCCGATTTTCTTAAAATTCATCATTTTTTCCTCTCTTTTATGGGATTTAACTTCATTATTTTTGTGCTTTTGGAAAATACTTTACTTATTTAATAGTCTCGACTCTTTGGTAAAAAATCTAAAATTATCAAAAATTCGAAAAATTTCAAAAATCCATTTTTCTTAAAATTCAACATTTTTTCCTCTCTTTTATGGGATTTAGCTTCATTATTTTTGTGCTTTTGGAAAATACTTTACTTTTTAAATTGTCTCGACTCTTTGGTAAAAAATCTAAAATTATCAAAAATTCGAAAAATTTCAAAATTCGTTTTTCTTAAAATTCAACATTTTTTCCTCTCTTTTATGGGATTTAGCTTCATTATTTTTGTGCTTTTGGAAAATACTTTACTTTTTAAATTGTCTCGAATCTTTGGTAAAAAATCTAAAATTATCAAAAATTCGAAAAATTTCAAAATTCGTTTTTCTTAAAATTCAACATTTTTTCCTCTCTTTTATGGGATTTAGCTTCATTATTTTTGTGCTTTTGGAAAATACTTTACTTATTTAATAGTCTCGACTCTTTGGTAAAAAATCTAAAATTATCAAAAATTCGAAAAAATTCAAAAATCCGATTTTCTTAAAATTCAACATTTTTCCTCTCTTTTATGGGATTTAGCTTCATTATTTTTGTGCTTTTGGAAAATACTTTACTTATTAAATAGTCTCGACTCTTTGGTAAAAAATCTAAAATTATCGAAAATTATCAAAAATTCAAAAATCCGATTTTCTTAAAATTCATCATTTTTTCCTCTCTTTTATGGGATTTAACTTTATTATTTTTGTGCTTTTGGAAAATACTTTACTTATTAAATAATCTTGACTCTTTGGTAAAAAATCTAAAATTATCAAAAATTCGAAAAAATTCAAAAATCCGATTTTCTTAAAATTCAACATTTTTTCCTCTCTTTTATGGGATTTAGCATCATTATTTTTGTGCTTTTGGAAAATACTTTACTTATTAAATTGTCTCGACTCTTTGGTGAAAAATCTAAAATTATCAAAAATTCGAAAAATTTCAAAAATCCGATTTTCTTAAAATTCAACATTTTTTCTTCTCTTTTATGCCATTTAGCTTTATTATTATTTGAATTCTTATTCAAGAGAAAAAATGGAAAACTGAAAAAATTTAGAAACTTTTAAAAATTCCAGGCCTTTTCCATGATTTCCCTGATTTCCAGAAGCCTTTTAAAAATTCCATACCATTTCCATGATTTCCATGATTTTTAGATTCTGTAGGAACCCTGCTTTTGTCTGACTTTCTTCTAAATTATCGAATTCAGTGATTTCTGGGGTGAATTTGGTTAAGTTGTAAAATGATTAATTTCTATTTGAATTCGTTTTTTTTTGAATGTAGAAAATCTGATGTTAATTTAATTCTTTTTTCGTTATGCACGGCAAAAAATATTTAGCTGGATGAACTACAGATTTCACTTTAGTAGCGAAATTTTTCAGTGCTCCAATTAATACTTTCGTTATTCTAGAGAAACTTATCGCTATTTCAAGTAAAACTTTTTTCAGTGTGTAATAATTATTATTTCTTTAAAAAGTATTTAATTTAAAATGTCTTTATAAAATAAGCAATGCAAAAGATGACCCAGATACTAATTGTAATTGTTCTAGCCATAGTTTAAGTCTAGTAATATAAATTCTATTTAAATTGAGACCATTGAGTGAAATTATTTGAATTTTAGTTAGTTAAATCTCTTTGTTAGGTTATAATAATTATTTCTTTAAAATTTTTTAAATTGTTTAAAATAAGCAGCCCCATACAACATTCCCGCGCACTTGCGCGCGGATAGTTTGGCTAGTAAATAATAATCTAAAAATAATTTTTTGAAATTAAATTTTACGGTATTTATTTAAAATAAAATTTTTATAATATTCATTACATTTCGAAAAAAATAATTATTTAACGCAATGATTATAAAAATTCTTATAAAGAATTCAATTATTTTCAAAAATAACAAAAAATTTCACAGAAACTCAATTATATTCAGAAATTAAAAAAAATTCTTGTCAAAATTTCAAGTATTTTTATAAATAATAAAATTCTTCTCAGGAATTCAATTATTTTTGAAAATTTTAATAAAATTCTTTGCAAAATTTCAATTATTTTCATAAATAATAAAATTCATCGCTGGATTTCAATTATTTTTAATACAATTTTACATGAATTGCTCAAAAAATGTAATTATTCTTAAAAATTTAATTTCAGTTTCTCGAAAAAATCAATTATTTAAAAATACAATCTTAATTAAATTTTTTTAAAATAACTGAATTATTCTTTTAGATTTTAGTAAAGTTCTTTACAAGAATTCAATTATTTACATAAATAATTTTTCGAAAGAATTCAATTATGTCGATAAATAGCAAAATTATTCCCGAAAATTCAATTATTTTGAGGCATTTTAATAAAATTCTTTGCACTAATCTTTTTAGGAATTTGATTATTTTCAAAAATATTTTAAAAAACCACACAGACATTCAATTATTGTCAAAAGTTTATATAAAATTCTTTTTTGTAAAATTTAATTATTTTTAAAAACTTTTCGCAATTCAATGATTTTGAATATGTACTATTTTCATAAAATTTCCAAAAAGAATTCAAATATTTAAAAAATTTTTTGTAGAAATCTTTTTTTCATGAATAATACCTCTGGAATTCAAGTGTTTAAATTAGAATTTGCATAAAATGAATCGAAAGAAATCAATTATTTAAAAATCTTTATAAAATTCTTCGCAAGAATTACATTATTCTTATAAATATTTAAATTCTTTCATGAATTATAAAATTCGTTGCAGGAATTCAATTTATTAGCAGGATAAGAAAGAAGTAAATATCTTCGATGAAAATTAGGAAAAATTCAGGAAAATAAAAAATATGGAATGTAATTTTTTTTCAGTTTTGCTGTGTCTAAATCGTGTTTTTTTGTCGTCAAGATTGATTTTTCGATAGCTACTTGTTTACTACTTTTTTAGTTGGAAAGCTACTTTTTGTTACTATTTTAAAATAATTTTAAACATTTCACAGGAATTCAATTATTTTTATAAATAATAAAATTTTTTTAAGGAACTAAATTATTTTCATAAAAAATAATTTTAAAATTCTAGAAAATAATAATTGAATTAAAATGATGAAAATAATTTTGATGAAGTTAAGTAATAATATTCTTATAATATAAAATAATGATCTTATTACTTGATCATCTTTAATTATTATAAAACATGAAGAAATCGATCAGTCCGAGTCTTCGACTCGGAGCAATCGATATCTTCATGTTTTATAACAATAGTTTTATAAATTGTTTTTAAAAAAGGTTTGAATTTGAAATTTTTGAATGTCTTAATTCCTCTGGAAAATCCTGTTTCAAAAATAAAATTAAAAATAGAAATTGTGCAAATATTTTTCTTCTTTTTCTAAAACAAAATAATAATTTTGTTAAAAAAATTGTGATTCATAAACAAAAATAATGCAAAATAAATAAATTTTCTATTTCTTAATCACAGTTGTTTATAATAATTTTCTAATTTTGTTTAGAAGTAAAGAACAAAAATTTGCATAATTTCAATTTCACAAAACATAATATTTAACAAAATTTTAGTCCTTTAATGAAAAGATGTGAAAAAAAATCTGACGATTTCTATTTGTCATTACAATTTTGAATTAATTATAAAATAAAAATAATTATAACATTAATTAATAATAATATACAATCTATCTAAAGATAACAAAAAACAAAAGTATAAACAAAAGACAACTTCAAAGTGTGAGGGACAGAAAAAGTGAATGAATGAAAGAATATTTAAATTATTATAGTTAATTAATTATAGTTAATAGTTAATTATCGAGTGCGAAGTCTGAAATTGGAAGTAGTAAAAAAAATATCAGCGCTCAAAATTTTAGGGAAAAAAATATACTTTACCCCTCGGCTTGTATTATTCCATCCTTTAACACAATAATGTGGTTGACATTTTTCAAATACTGCAATTGATGAGTGACGAGAATTCTCGTCTTCCCTCTTAAGTACCTATCGATGCAATCTTCAAACATTCGTTTTCCAACGTGTGCATCAACTGCGCTCAATGGATCGTCCAATAAATAAATATCCGCCTCTGCATAGACTGCTCGAGCAAGATTTATCCTGAAATTTAAATAATATTGGTTAAACTTAATTATCGTAAGACTAATTAATATATTAATAAATAAATAAATAAATGAATATAAAATTATTTTCTGATAAAAATTGCATTCTTTAATGTACCTGGCTCGTTGTCCTCCGGAAAGACTAATTCCCCTTTCACCCACAATTGTTCTATCTCCATAAGGCAATAAGGTGAAATCTCGTTTTAATTGACATTCTTTTATCACTTTGTCGTAACGATATTGATCGTATTTTCGACCAAATAAAATATTTTGTCTAACTGATCCTGCAAATAACCATGGTTCTTGACTTGCGTAGGCAATACTACCTTTTACCTACAAATAACAAGAATTCCCTTTAATTTCCTTTTAATCTCCTTTTCATGATCTTAACATTTTCTCTCAATTATGTTTACATTTTCAACGCATTTGATAATATCTCTAAAATTCCCAACGTTTAAATAAACGAAATTTATTTAATATTTAAACTGTTTAAATTCAAAAGCTTTGAAAAAATCGTTGGTTTTGGAATAAAGAAAATTATAATCGACAATTTTTGAACGTTCAAATGAACGAAATTAGCGTCGACGCTAACTTCAGAGATCTCAAAATTATAATATTGATTTAGAATATTTTTCATTTGGACATACCTGAACAAGCCCTTCGTTAAGTGGCAATTCTTTTAAAATAACATTCAATAAACTCGATTTTCCTGATCCAACTTGACCGACAATTGCAACTAATTGATGGGGTTTCACGTGTAAATTAATACCATGTAAAGTATCTTCTTTGTCACTCTCTAACCATCTAGCACAGCCATTTTTCACTAATACTGAACCCTCGTGTTCTTCCAATTTTTCAAAATTCTTATCACTACTAAATTCGTCGATTTTCGTTATTTTTTTCTCAAACTTTTGTACTTTTCTCTCCGCCACTTCCTCATAGCGCATGAAATTTTGTAGACGTTTTATTGATACAATAGCCTCTGCTATCTGTGTTATTCCTGAAAAAAATTTATTTCCATAAGAAGAAATGAATTATTTCAACAATTTAATAATATTAAATGCAAGCAATACATTCTATTTCTTTTAGGGTGAAAAATATCTTTTCTCTTTTAACCGTTCATCGTAAAAAATGTTGTAAACTTTACAGATGTAAAAATAGTTGAATTTACAATATTTTGTAAAATTCAAATTACTCCTAAAAATAATAAATAATTTTCAAGCTTATTTTCCACACAATCAAAATATTTTATTACCACTAATATGACAATTTTTTCCAAGAACATGCAAGTTGTTAAAATTGATGCAAAAAATATGGAAAAAATTGAAAAGGATTTCCATAAAAAAAACATTTTTGTATATTTTTAGAAAATATTTTATGCTATGAAATATTCATGTGAATAAACTGGCTCATTTGTGGCAATAAGATGTTTTGATTGTATGCTTAAAAATAAGTCCATGAACCTTGAAAAATGTTTATTATTTTAGGAATAACTTTAATTTTACAAAACATTGTAAATTCAACCATTTTTGCTCATTTTTTGTGTAAAAAAATCCCAAAAGATTTTTATGTTAAATTGCAAAAATTATATGAAAATGATATAATTTAGTAATTATATCGCTTTTTGATTTGATCGTTTGTGAATTTGTTCATGAAATTACCTTGAGGGAAGAAGACGGTCATTGTTTGTCGAAGAATATTATAATAAGCAGTCAACATAAAAACTGTTTCGGCAGTGATTTGATTACCATAGAGTACATAAGCTAAAACTGTTATGAAGAGTGATAATCTAGTTGAGAACATAATGAAGGACATAATAACACCCCTAATATATGACGTTGCTCTTATGACATGAATTTCTTTCCTAAAATACAAAAAAAAAGAAAGTAGATTAAAAAAATACTCTACAGAAAAAATAATCAATTAGGAAATGATTAAATTAGTGGAAAATTATATTTACTTTCTCGCCTTTTCAATAAGAGCGCTAAACGGTTTTTCCCATGTATACATTTTTATCGCCTGAATTCCAGTGATTATCTCATTAGTTAATCGGACTCTTTCATCAGTTCTAATTGCAGTGCGCAGTCTCAATACTGATGATTTCTTACCCAAAAAACCTGCAAAGAATAAAATAAGTATTAATACGTCTCCAAATAATAATAATCATTTTTTATATAGAATTTCAGTTCTATTTCTTTTCGTCTAAAGTTTTCCTTTTGTCTAAATAAATAAATATAAAAAAAATAAAATAAAAAAATAATAATATATAAATAAATATTAATAAATAATTGGAATAAAAATTAAAAAAAAAATTTTAGTCAAAAATTTGAGTAAAAAAATATTTTTTCCATTAAACCGTTGATTATAAACATTGTGATCTTTTTTTTCACCTTGTAATGGAATGAATAGAAGAAGTGTCGCGACTCCAATAATAGCGGCAACTCCAACTTCCTGGTACATAAAATACGTAATAATAATTGTTTCCAATGGTCCAATCCACAAATAATGAACGAAAATAATTGCCAAATCAAATCGATTAACATCATTTGAGAGGAGATTGACAGCCTGACCAATTGTTGTCTCGCCCAAGGCAGTTTTTGACAATCGAAGTGCCTTCCTGTAGATTAGTGTGCAACAGGCCACTCGCATTTTCATTCCCATATGTAAAATTGCCATCATGTACGGATGAATTACAAATATATTAATTGCCGAGCATAAAATTATTCCAAACGCATAGAGATAAGCATCCGAGTACGATATTGGTTTATCCGGATCAGGGCGGAAGAAACGTAAAAAACGAAATAGAAACAGTGGCTGCATTACTCTGTATTAAAAAAAGAAAATATTAAAATTAAATTCATGTTTTTACAGAATTTCTAATTTAGAAAATTAGAAATTTTACTGAGAAAATTTAATTATGACAATAATGTTGTTCATTCACACGATGACAAGGTCGATACATTTGCCTTGTTACAGTATATTAGCTAAAAAAAATTATCATTATATTCTAAGTCTTGGAAATATTAACACCGATGATAATAATATACAAGGAAAGCGTACGTCTAGGGTCTCATTAAAAAATCATAAGAATAGAAAATCTATTTCTTTTTCGGATAATTACAAATATTAGTTTTCGGAAAATTTAACGAAAGTGGGTAAAATAGGTTTTGTTAGAAATTTTACATTTGGAAATATTTAGTTTAGAAAATTTTAATAAATTTGAAATAATAAATAATATTAAATTTTGAAAATAATTAAATTGTTTAAAAGAATTTATTGGAAATTTTGAAAATAATAATTGATTTCTTTCGAGATTTTATTAAAATGTATTGACAATAATTAAAACTCCGGCAAAGAATTTTATTACCTATTTATAAAAATTCATGCAATGAATTTTATTCATTTGGAAAATAATTGGAATCTTATTGAAAATTTCATTTAAATTTTCAAAAATAATTGAATTCTTGCTAAAAATATTATTAAAATTTTTGAAAATAATTTAATTCTCTCGAGGAATTTAATTAATTGTATTAAATGCTTACAATGAATGTTATTAATTTTGAAAATAATTGAAATCTTATTGAAAATTTCATTAAAATAATTGAATTCTTGCTAAAAAATATTATTAAAATTTTTGAAAATAATTGAATTCTCTCGAGGAATTCAATTAATTGTATTGAATGCTTAGAATGAATTTTATTTATTTTAAAAATAATTGAAATCTTATTGAAAATTTCATTAAAATTTTCAAAAATAATTGAATTCTTGCTAAAAAATATTGTTAAAATTTTTGAAAATAATTGAATTCTCTCGAGGAACGAATGCAATTAATTGTTATAAATGCTTGAAATGAATTTTATTAATTTTCATGACAATAATTGAATTCTTGCGAAAATTTTATAAAAAATAATTTAACTATTTCAAAGAATTTTATTATTTATAAATATAATTGAATTCTTGCGAAGAATTTTATTCAAATTACTGTAAATAATTGAATTCCTTTAGAGAATTTTAATATCTATAAAAATAATTGAATTCTTGCGAATAGAATTCCTGCGAAGAATTTTACTATTTATGAAAATAATTGAATTCTTGCAAAGAATTTAAATATCATTGAAAAAACTCAGTGAATTCCATAAAGAAATTATATTGAAATTGTATTGAAAATAATTAAATTCTTACAAAGAATTTTCTTAAATATATTGAATTCTTTCAAGAAATTTTTAGAAATAAATAATAATAATTCATTAGTTCGAAAGAGAATTTTTTAATTTTGAATCTGAAATTATTATAATTAAAAAATTAATGTTGATATTTAAAAATAAAGATTTTTTAATCTGCAGAATAATAATAAAAAATTAAACACCGCGTTTAATTGAATTAAAAATTCACTGAAGAAAATTTTTTATATTTAAACAACAACAACAACATATTTTTGTTGGATTAATAAAAAAATGTTTAGTTATCTAAAAATTCTTTTACTACAAAATAAATTATTTTAAGGAACTAAAAAATCTATTTTCATATTGTAAATTTGTTAAACACACGAAAAACAAAATCAATTATTATTATTAATAACTAATTTCTAAGTAATTTTTAATTTGAAAAATTAAAAATGTTAAAATTAAATTTTGGGGACTTAACGATTCAGTTGATTCCTCTTGAAAATCGGACCTGGGTCGCGCTTGTTCAATTGGCACATAAAGTTTTTTCTTGGGAAAGTAATAATGAATGAAAGATCTAAGAAATAATGGTTGCATCAATCTGCACGTAAAATAAAAACTTAACTTTATTCCTTTATATTCACAATTTATAATTTCAACACAGGTCAAATTGATTGACTCTTAATAATTAACAGTGTTCTACTTGTATGGGACGTTTATATTAAAAAAAAATTCTTTCTTGAGAGAGAATTTTCTCTCTCTTTCTCTCTTGAGGGAAAAAAAATTATTGTTGACTATCAAGAAAAATAATAAATAAATAAAATAAATAAATAAAATAAAAATATAAAAAAAATAAATAAAATAAAAAAAATAATAAAAATAAATAAAATAAATAATATTTAATAATAATAATAAAATAATAATTTTCTCTCACCTTAAAACAATTTCCATAACTGCCAATAAAACTCCGTACATCATTACTTTTGCTCCAAAACATTTTATCAATACTCGTAGTAGGCTTGGTTCTTTTAATTTTGATTCCTTCTCGTCTCCATTATCTTTCTTGTAGTCATTGCTTTGTGTTTCGGAAAAGTTAGTTTTATTTAATCGTTTGAACTCTGCTTGCCATATTTCTGTTATTTTTTCACCTAAAATACTACTTGTGTGCTCTTTAAGAGGCTTATATAGATCACTCACTTCCAAATCTCTTTTATATCCCAGCCAAAATGTTCGTAAAATCCATCTATTTCAAAGAAAATTTACATTATTAGATTAATATGAGAAATCATTTTTAATTATAAAATTACTTTCTAGAAATAATTTTTAATTAACTTTTAATTAATTTTTAATTATTAATAATAAATAAATAAAATTAATTTAAATGAAATCAATTAAAAAAAATTTAGGTATCTTAATGAAGAAAGTAATTTGAATATTTTATTAAATATTTATCAATTAAAATTACCGTTACAATTACAATTACGATTATTTATTCGCACTAGTCGTTAATTTTAATCTCTTTCTCTCTTCAATAACAATACAACATAAAGCTATTAAAAAAAATTAGTTCAAGATTACATATATATATAAATTTGCAATCTTTTAAAAATTAAAACAAAATAATTTGTATTCACATAAAATTTAATGAGGAAAAAAATATATTATGGAAAAAAATAACAAATAAAGTGATTACTTATTATTTCTTATTGACTGTGACTTGGCAGTTTCATTGGGAATTTTTTCAAACCCATACCTAGTGTTATTATTTAACTGTCAGATGATTGACGCTCTTTATTTTTGTCAGACAAATGATTAGAGATAAGATATATTAATAATTGACATCGACTGATTTTAAAAGGACAAATTTATCTGAAAACTTTTTGGAACATTTACAAATTAATTAATGTATTGCTTTATCAGTATAATAAAGACATATGGAGAATTTTTTTTTAAACTACATGCACATAAAATTTAGATTAAGCAATATTTTGTTGTTGTTTTTTTTGTTATTACATAGGAACATAATTTTTAAAGCCTCAATTAAAAAAAGTTGTTAAATTTTCTTATTTTTTCTACATTTTTTCTAAAAAAAAAATTTCTAAAGTAAAAAATGTATTTTGTAATTTTTTATTTGAATTTAGTCAAACTTTTGGGACAGAAGATAAAATTAAGTATAACAATTATGAAAGAGACAAAAAAATAGTTAACTTGTGAGCTACTTTAAACTTTCAATAATTTAGGTATAGATTGCTTAACATTTTTTTTTATAGTTTTATGATCTTTGAGCAAGTAATAAATAGGATTATAAAATAAAGAAGAAAAAATTTTTTTCTAAGGAATGAGGTCATTGGAATAATATTTTTTTGTGTTTTTATCAAAAAAGGCCTCAATAAAAAAAGATGTTTTGATTTGAAGAAGAAAATAGTTTATTAGAAAAAGAATTAGAAATACAATTTAAATTGAAATGAATTAAATTTAATACAAAGGAAAATAAAAAAGAAAATAAAGTACATCCCAAAAGATGAATATATAGAGATTAATAAGTTTGAGATTAAGTAAAAAGATAAAATATATTGCTATCAACAACTGTATTTAAATAATTATCAATGTTCAAACATTAAATTAATGATTATCTTTTCTATAGTTGTGAGAATTCGCAATATTCTTATGTAACTTTATAGTCTTCTTTAATTGAGTATTTTGTAAGAAGTGTTACATTGTTTGTCCATGTTGTATGTAATTTTGGTAAAAAAAAAAAAATTTTTTTTTCTCAAAAAAATAAAATTTTAAAAACATAAAATGTGACAATTAACTTGTTTTCGATTATATAATTTCGGTCAAGTCTCAATCTAAAACTGATAAAATTCAAAAATTGAATCTTGATTATTATAGTCCATAAAGTGCTCAATTACGGAAATAAGATAAGACGCCCGCACATAGGACTAAAAATAACTTTTTGAAGAACCCTTCAAAATTATTTAATAATAGATTATAAAAAAAATGAGACAAAATTCCCTTGAAATAATTTTCTGAAAGTTTCTTCGCAGGGGAAATAAGTAATATAGAATTCAGTTAAAAATTAATTTCGTTTTTTTGTATGATCCACAATGAGAGACTGAAGTCCAAAATGAAAAAATAAAGAGAGAATTGTCTGTAAATACTAAAATTATTGCTACAAATAAAATTCATTTTTAGATTTAAATAAAATTTAATTGCAATATTAAAAAAAATTATGAGAATAAATAAAATTGAAGAGATTTAGAATTACTATTATTATTATTATTATGATCGCAAGATAAGTTCATCTTGCATTGAGAAAGAATGGAAAAAAGAACCTTCCACCGAACGACAGAAGGTCAATTTCCATCCAATTTTCATTGTACTTTTACAAATTGCAAATTTATAATCTTGAAACTGATCGTAAAATTTAAAATATAATATTTCATTCTGAAGATTTTTTTTTAGAAAAAAAGAAATATATTTTTTAACAGTTCGTTTTACAGATTTTGTAACTGCACATTTTTTTATTACACTATTAGTCCAGTAAATAGTAAATAAATAAAGAAAAAAACGGAAATTATGTCAACATTCAAGCAAAGTAATTTTTACGTCAATATTTACAATATTCTTCCTTTTGCAAAAAATGTAAATATTCTAGATTTAATTATTTAAAATTGCCCTCATGCAAAACTAGTTCACGAGTTTTTTTTTTATAAAAGCATGAATTCATTTAAATATATTTTTACATTCAAATTACAATGTGTACTTTACACACAAATTTTTTTATATTGTTTTTTTTTATTCAATAAATAAGTGAGGAAAACATTTACTTTTTTATTAAAAATAAACTAATAATTAATTATTAAAGAAATAATCTCGGAAATAATTACAGTGTATATTTAACACCCGCAACTATTTTTATATTGTTTATTCAATAACTAGAAAGGGAGGGAAAATTGTAATTTTTAGTTAAAAATAAAGTAATAATTAAATTTTTATTTTAATAATAATAATATTATTAAAAAATTTTATAATAATAATAATTAAGTTGTATTAATTTTTATAATTTTGTAATTTTTATTTAGTTATTTATTTATTTATAAATTAATATATAATTATAAATTATCAGAAATCTCTAAAGTTTCGAACGTTCAATTAAATGACGCGACGATTTTTTTGGTTCAAATTTGAATTTTATTAAAAAACAATTTTTTTTATATTAAAAAAAATTATTAACTAAGAAAATATATTTTTTTTAATTTTATTACAGCTATTTTTTTAAACTTATGTTTGTAATATTATATTTATGTTTAAAAAAAAAAATTCGTTCACTGGAAGTTTCAAAACTTTAGGAAATTAATTATAAAATTGACAGAAACAATTAATTAGTAATTAATATTTCCATTATTAAAATATTATTTCAAATTTACTACGTATTAAAAGCAAAACAAAATTAACAAAAAAGCATTAAATGCTTAGAAAATAAATTTTTTGGAAAAAATTTCGAAGATTTAAAACCAACTATTTGTCTATTAACATACAATTATTTACTTGAATCAAATAAATTTGTTACAAATAAATGTTTATTTGCCAATAGACAAATAATCGTTTATTTGAATGAAATAAATTTTTTTCTCTCAGTGTATTGAATATTTTGTTTTTAGTTTTTACACTTTTGTTGAAATTTAAAGGAAAAAAAAATCACTAACATAATAGTTTAAAAAGGAAAAGTCTTTTAAAAAATAGAAAATAAAAAAAGTTTTCAGAAATTCGCAAACAACCGGTTATTGATTTCCTTTATTTTCAAGGTTGTAAACTCCGATTTCATCACAATGAAACGCGCTCCTACCTCTATTACTCAATTAATTTCTATCAACATTGGAGGTATTAGATAAAGTGTTTTCTATTTTATCAGATCAATTGTCATTTCTCCTTCGCAATTAAAGAAAAAGAAAAAAAAACCAGTTCAATCAACAAGGTGACTAAAATGAACAATAATTAACCCTCCGGTATAGAGAATTTATAAATTCTCGATATTAACGTGTTTGTATATGTAACTCTTGCATTCCGCAAGAAATATACACATTTTTTGTTAAATCATGGTCATTAACAGATAACTTAAAATTGCTCACAATATAATTGAGACTAATGGAAATAATTAAATTCTAATTAGATCGAATTCGGAATCAATATATTGAAACAATACTTTTGTTTTTTTTAAATAAAAATTATTTTTTAGATTCTATTTAAATTTTGAATTTTATTCTAAAATTACTAAATTACTAAATTTTGGTCTAAAATCACTAGATTTTACTCTAAAATACTCAACGCTCAGCTTCGAAAAGTATTTATTTTGAGTTTTTAGAGATGATAATGGGACTAATTTCACTTTTTTCATTCACTTAGGGAGTTATAAAAATTCTTCGCAGAATTTCAATTATGTTCAAAAATTAAAAAAAAATTCTCGTCAAAATTTCAATTATCTTTATAAATAATAAAATTCTTCATCGGAATTAAATTATTTTTTAAAATTTTAATAAAATTCTTGGCAAAATTTCGCAAAAATTCAATTATTTAAAAAAAATTTAATAAAGTTCTTTTCAAGAATTCAATTATTTTTATATAATAATAAAATTCTTCACCGAAATTCAATTATTTTTATAGACTTGAATAAAATTCGTTGCAAACAATTCAATTATTTATATAAATAATAAAATTCTTCACAGAAATTCAGTTATTTTTATAAACTTAAATAAAATTCGTTAGGAAAATTAAATTAAAAAAGTAAAAAAGTAATATTAAAATGCTTCACAGAAATTCAATTATATTCAGAAATTAAAAAAAAATTCTTGTCAAAATTTCAAGTATTTTTATAAATAATAAAATTCTTCTCCGAAATTCAATTATTTTAGAAAAATTTTAATAAAATTCTTGGGGAAATTTTAATTATTTTCATAAATAATTAGACTCATCGCAGGATTTTAATTAATTTAATACAATATTTTAATCAAATTCCTCAAAAAATGTAATTATTCTTAAAAATTTAATTAAAATTTGTCAAAAGAATTCAATTATTTAAAAATTTCTTGATAAAATTCTTTATGAGAATTTAATTTTAACAAACATTCAATTATTCAATAAATTATTTATTTTTTAATTTAAATAATTGAATTCTTCTAGAATGTTCTAATAAAAATTGATTTAAAAATGAATTACCGAATAATCGATTTATTATTTATGAAAATAATTGGATTCTTGCAACGAATTTTAATACATTTTTTTCAATAATGGAATTTTTTTGAGAAATGTTACTACTTGTAAAAATAATTGAATTCTTGCGAAGGATTTTATTAGGATTTTTGTAAATAATTAATTTTTTTTTGAAAAATTTTATGGTCTAATATTCTTATAAGTTGTTGAATTTCAAAAAAAATTTGAATTTGAACGTTTTGAAGAATTTTAATTCCTACAGAAAAATAATAATGATTAAATATTTATTTAAAAAAGAAGTTATTGATGTTTTCGAATAATTTTAGAATTAAATAAATTCGTAAGTAAATGTAATAGAACATTTTTTTGAGTATCTAATAATTTTTAGAGTGAATCAGAATATTCTTTAGGGTCAGAGAAAAAGTGAAAATTTTGTCTGAAAATCAGGGAAAAGTGAGGGAAAAATTAAAAATAAATATTTGTGGCAACTCTGATTAAAATGGAAATAATTTGTCGCAAGTAAATTATTTTTTTCATAATAGACAAGTAATCGTTTATTTGAATCAAATAAATTCTTATTTTTCCAGTGTAATTTTAATGATTGGAAATTAAAATAATAATAACAATGTTTGTAAACTTACGAGAATGAAAGAACACTGAGAGGATTTGCCTTTTCTCTTGGATTTTTCACCTTCTCAGCATAAATTTTTCCATCCATGATCTCTTTAAATCACCAACAATCTCGTTCAAAATTTTCTCCCTTCTGTACTTTCATAGAGAAAATCTGCAAAAAAGAATTCAAAATTAATTAACAATTCTTAACTTCAATTTATTTAGTTTTATTAATATTTATTATTTATTTTCAAAATTAAAAATTATCAATAGTTAGAAAATTATTTATACTGAAAAAAACTTATTTAGTTCAAATAATTTGGTTGCTCGACAAATAAATTTTTATTTACCTTAATAATTTACTAATTCAAAAATTAGTAGAAATTACTACAGTAGAACCCGGTTAATACGCTCCCGTTTAATACGATTTCCCACTTAAAACGCTCATTTATAGTGGTCCCTGTAATTAAAGACATACATTTTATTTCCCGCTTAATACGTTTTCCCGCATAAGACGCATTCTTAGCGCGGTCCCTACAGAATCGTATTAACCGGGTTCTACTGTATTTATTAGTAAAATTTACTAATTCAAAAAATTTTTTAAATTCATAAAAATTTATTTCCTCTGTAAATTAAAATTTTTTTACAATAATTTTGTGTCTAGTGTCTACTTTGTTAACAATATGTTTGTGCCAACTGTAATTATTCGATAATAGTCAAGCAACTGTTTATTTTTCATTATTGAAAAAAAATATTTATCAGGATATAAAGAAGAATATTTTAACAGTTTACTTCAACCTTATATCACAATATATCAATTAATTTGTTGAATTTAAAATTTAACGGTTCAATAATTTTCATATCTTAATATTCTATGTAACTTTTAAAGAATTCCAAACATATTATTGTGAAAGAATTTCACTGTACTATTAATTTACTATCAGAAAAAGTAATTAACAAATGATAAGCGAGATATCTCTTTAATATTCACGCAATTTATGCGGAAACACGCATGATTCATCGTTAATTTTCAAACTATCGATATTCCCAACAGCTGATAGATTATAAAATTTATTTTTTTGCGAAAAAAAGTAATAATTACACTATCTATATAGATTGTAATAATTTTACTACTCATGATTGATTAAGTTTTAATTCATAGTCTGTATGTTTTTTTTTATTTATTACATGTTTTGTTTTCAGTCTAAATTTAAATATTTGAATTATTTACAATTATTTATATATTTAAATGAATTTTTTTTTTTTGAAATAGTGCCCAATCATTATTATTAGTATTTTTTTCGATAATGCCAAACTTTGTATATTACTAAGTAAGGAAATTTTTTCAGTAATATTTTGCTGAATCATCTTCTCTTTCTTTTCATTATCTTGCGGGTGTTCCAGAAATAGCCATTTTATTTTGTATTTTTATCAGAATAATAAAAATAAATAAATAAATAATATTTTAATAATAATTGTAATTAAATTATGAATAGTAATTTTATTTAATAGGACCTGACAATAATTTTATTCAATTGTAATTTATTTATATAATAGATTCTAATTAATTGGTATCATTTAGTTTATGAAATTAATTATAATATTTACAATGAAAAATTAATTTTTAAATTATTTTTTTACAATTATTTTAAAAAACAATTATTTATTATTATTATTATTATTATTATTATTATTATTATTATTATTATTATTATTATTATTATTATTCAAGTAAATTCGTAAATAAAAATATAATAAATTAATGTGTTAAATATTTTTACTAAGAAATAATTAAAAATTCCAAATTATTCTAAACATGTCAAAAAATTTATTCGCAACAATTTCAAAATTATCTTGAAAAAAAATTGTGAAGTAAAATTTTACGCAAACTAATTTTTGAAAAATTTAAAATAAAATTATTCAGAACTTCAATAATTTTTAATAATAAATGTTTAAAAATAATTATTTATCTTTCTCCAGCAATATTAAAAATTTTATAATTGAAAATTTTCTGCAACTGAATTATTTCTAAAAATTTTAACTGTAAACTAAAAAAAAAATTATTTGATTCAAATAATTGATTTCTTGTCTATTAATTAATAAATATTGACCTACTTGAATCAAATAATTTTTGTTTGAATTAATTAAATATGGTATTTGCTTGAAATGCTGAAATTATTATTTCAAATACAATTTATTATGATTTAGATAAAAATTATTTGACTCAAGTAAAAATTTTTTTGATATAATAGACAAATAATTTGTTAATTAGGTTAAATAAATATTTTTTTCATTGTATAACAATAAATTTTGTAATTATTTAATGAGAATTATTGTAAAAACTGATTTTATTACTTTTTTATATTACATTCAATTTATATAAATTTATTGTAATATATATTGTAAAAATATTAAAATTCAAAAATTATTTGACTACAATTCATTAATTTTATTCTTTTTGATATTTATTTAAAACTAATAAATAAAAATTGAAAATAGAAGTTGAGATAAATTCCTTTCAAATACAATTATATTTGTTACCAACATTAATAATTAATAATTAAAATTAATTAAAATAATTTATTTTATATTTAACTAATTATAATCGTTTTTATAAAAATAAATTTTCAAAATTATTTTAAATTATAGAAATTGATTTTATTCTTTCTTTTTTATTCCATAAAAATTAAATTCAAAAAATGAAAATGAATAAATTTTTCTGTTATTTATTTCAAACTATTAAAATGATTCGAAATTGAAAGTATATGTATAGAGGCAGTTGAAAAAAGTCCTATTAAAAATCCCTTAGCAAGTATATAATTATATACATTACATTCCTTATTTACCCAATCTATGTCTATATAGTGAGCTTCTGGTATAAACTTTAAGTAAGCTTTATGAGAATTTTCTAATTTATTAAGGTCGGATGACAAATCTATTTTGTCGTTTAACCATATTGATCGAGAGTCAAGATAACATAAAAGATAAGAGATCTGGTAGTCCAACTTTACAAAGAATACAATAAGATAAGCCAACGGCAAATTCTAAAAAATAAAATCTACTGTTGTTAAAAGTTGGCAGGAAAAATTTTGCAAAAAAATTTTTTTTCCCTCTACTTTATTTACGCGCATATTGAATATATATACAATAATTTCAAAAACAATTTCTCCTTTCTCTCTCAATTATCAATTTTGAAAATTGACATTTTGTTTTCTGTAAAGCGATTTTTGTTTTAAATAAAAATTTGAAATTGATGGCTTTTCTATTTCATATTCTCATTTTTGTGTATGAGATAAAAAAGTGGATTTGTAAAGACAAAAACAGTCGCTTTACGTAATTCATTCAACAGCTGTGGTTTTATCATTAAACTAACAGAAAGTTAAATTAATCAAAGAAATAAATTTAAGTGTTCGTGTGAAGCGTGTGAAGTTCAAGATTTTGTGAGAAAATTTTTGTTTCTATAAAATATTTTTTATATTCTAAAAAAAAAATATCATTTTAAAGAAATTAAAAGGAAGGGAAACAAATTTTTATGTATCATAGGAAATGAATCATAAATATTTTTTTCCTCGCCTTTGTGTTATAATTAACTTTATATTTGTTTATTTACTTAGTGTTATAGTGCCAATTATTTTAATAATCAATAGCTTTTAATTAATTTTTGAATACTAATATAATAATATAATAATAATATTAATTATATAATAAAATATAATTTTAATATTAAAAATATAATATCTAATATTATATATCTAATATTATAATATCTAATATTATAATTTTATTTTTTTTTCCTTTTTATTATTTTTTTTGTTCTTTATTTATTATTATCCACGAAAGGATAATTATTTTTTGTCTCACAAATACAAAATTTTGGTTTGAATTCATATCATTTTTTTTTATTATTTGAACAGAAAAGATTATTTATTTCCTTTTGTTGAAACGTTGTTAAAAAATTAATCAAAATGATGAGGATGTTAAATTTTTTATAGTTAACTTTTCAAATACATATAAACAAATTTTTAATGAAGTTTTTCAATGTTATTAAAATTATATTTACACTGCAAAAAAAATAATAATCTGTTAAAACTTATATTATTGTTTACTTTATGTTAACATGAAGAGTTGCACATTTTGATTCTGTTTAAATTAATGTTCTTGTGTAATTTGATAAGATAAATTTGCTAATATTTGCTAGATTACAATAACAATTACAAATTGCAATTTCACTGTCAAAGACGTGCCAGTATTTAAAAATGAATCAGTAATTGTTTCTCAAGGTTAATACTTGAACCCATATTAAAGATTCTCTTATGTAAGGCACATAATGTCAAAATTCACCTAAATTAATCGAAAATTTCAAAATTGTTCTTATAAATATTTCTCTATTAAGAAAGAGAAATTTTTTATTGTTAAAATATTTGCCAAAACAATATGACTTTCAGTTATAATTAAAATTTTCAAAAAGAGAATTTACACAAAAATTTTACTTAACCTTAATTTTCCTTATACAGTATTTTTTTTACAAATAAAATAAATATAAAATATTGTTAATTAAATGTCTCGTATAAAATAAAATTCTATTGTCAATTAAATGTCTTTTGTCTAATGTTAATTTAAACAAATCAAAATGTGTTTTTTTTAAATGAAACTTGAAGTTATAATAAAATTTTGACATTTTGTTTACTCACCCAATTCGGAAATTGAAAATGTATCAGATGTAAATAATTTGTGAATTAGGCGATGGTTCGGAAAAAAAAGCAGGGAAACTAATTTTTCTTGAGGAGAAAATAAATCCGATGTCTACTTCCCGAGATTGTTAATTAACTACTGACTGAAACAATTCTGAAAGAATTTTTAAGCAATGGTCTTTCTAGTATGTGTCTGTATATGTCATTGGTTAAATCTGCAGAAACACGTGATGCGGCGAATCAGATGAATGGACTTCCTCACTGAGCATGCGTAAAAAACATATGTTTTAATTCAATATTTGTCTTTAAACAATACCTCAACTTACACTTTCTGATCAAATAAGACAATAGGTAGATCATTTTGTTAAAAAAGTTTACAATAATACAAAAAGAATATTTTTCCAAAGTTTTCTTTTAATTTAATTCCATTATTATTATGTTGATTATTTTTTTAACAGTTCTTCTTAAAATAAATTTTTAAGATTCGGTAAATTTTCTCTATTTAAATAATTAGAGGGCGAAACAAATTAGTTAACAATCTGTATTTAATTAAGACGATTAAAAATATTTTTAAAAAGTGATTCGAATTTTCCCGCGTTGTCTGCGCAGTTGGCGTTGCGCACTGGTCGCGATCAAAAGTAAAATAAAATGGCGAGAAAGAAGGTCGGATTAAAATTTTGCTCCGATTCGATTGATCAAAATAAAGTAATTTTACATGAATTGCAAACACAAAAACAGGTTAATATTAAATAATCGGTGTTGTTTTTATAATTAAAATTAGTTTACAGGTGAAATTTGTTGAGAAGTGTGTGTTAAATCGTGATTGTTGCAGGTCGACGACAGGAGTCCAAAGGATTTAAAGGAACTTTTTAATAGTTTAAACACAAATAATATATCAAAGAAAGCAAAAGACGACGATAAGTTTGCTGCTTTTACAAATGTCCGTGAGGTAAATAATTTTGAAAGCATTTTTCTTGAGGGAATTTGATAAATTTTTTTCAATTGATAACCTATAAATGTCTGTCATTCAACACTTGAAAATAAGACAAATTAAGGGCAACAATGGAATGTTTTTATTTTGATGACACATTTAATGGGTTGGAAAATGAAAATTAATTGATTTATTGATAGAAAATAGACTCGGACTGGCGAAATTAAGGATTGTAGTAGTAATGAAAGTAGAGGGTAATTTGAATTTTAATCTTGGAATTAGAAGGTAAGTAAAATTGAATAAAAATGTTTGTCTAGTATTCTGTTTGTAAGAATCATAGCTTTATCGAGAATTTGTAAGATTTGTAAGAAACGATGTTTATGTGAATGTTTACATGTCACAAATAAACACAATTCTAGTCTTTCTAGTTTGATGAGTTATGGAAAATAAAGCTAATTTTATTATTTTAGGCGACTGGGAATTATGGACCTATCGCAGGATGTCCACCGGGAACCTGGTGGGGAATTCGTGTTGACTGTTCGAGGCAAGGAGTTCATAAGCCCTTCAATTTAGACGTTCACGATGGTCCCTTTGGAGCAATTTCAATCTGTACTCCTCAGAATACAGAATCGAAGGACGTCGATTTAGGAGAGATTTTAACAATAACAGGTCGAGAATACTCAGAATTGAATTCAAATAATGAATCTCTCGTTTTGAACTTTCAACGCTGTGTGCCTTTACGTTTGGTACGAAGTTACAGCCTCTTAAATAAATATTCACCAAAAACGGGTTATCGTTACGATGGTCTTTATATCGTTATCGCCCATTGGATTGGCGAGTCGGAAAACTCAAAGAAGCATAAATTTGCTCTTTCACGTGTTCTTCATCAACAACCACCACCCTGGCTTAATTCAACCACAAAAACTATCGATCGCCTTCCAAATGTCAAGCAATTACCAAAGAAATTGTCCTGCACTCTTCGTAAGCGATCCTCAAAATTAAATAGCCAAACAAGATTAAATTCGAGCAATGACAAGTACAATACTTGTGAAAATTCGAACAAATCAAGCGAATCGCCATCAATTTCCCAAAACGGAATTGCCATTCTAACACGACAGGTTTTCAAAAAACCAAACACTGCATCGACCACACCGCCCGTTTCAAGATCTGAATATTCAGCACAAAATTACAAACAAGTCGGACAGTCTAAATTATTGAATACAAATATTGCCGTTCGCACCGATTTGTACGATTCCTTCCACAATGTCGTTCAACAAGATGTTAAAAAATCGTCGATACTTTGCAGAGTCTACAAAGCAAATCAATTGGCGGAAAAATCGGACGAAACACAAATCGAATCATTAGGCATCGAAAAAATCAACACCAACTCCTCGAGAAATCAATCAAAATCTAATGGTTCAAGAGAAAATGAGATTGAAAAACAAACAACAGGCCAAAGAACATCACCATTATCACGTGAATCAATCTATCAAATCGTCGGTTGTCCACTAAATGACGAAACAGAGAAAACTAATTTTTCCCAAAATGATAAAAATTGTCCTCAAAAGCGTAAATCAGTAGCGAATTCAACGAGTTCCGATTCATCGAATTCATTGGAAGCACTGACTCCAGATAAAATTTTGAATTTAGTTGTAAAAGAGAAACGCAATCCAATGGCAAAATTACTGATAGGAAATGTTATCGGTCTATCAATTGAGGAATCATCAGTGATAAAGGCGTACAATGCATTAATATCGAAGGAAAACAAAGAAACTGAACATAATGATATTTCAAATGACAATAATAGACTGAAAACATCCTCTAATTTCAAAATGATCTCAAAACGAATTTTGAGGCACACAAGAAATGATGAGAATCGAAAGAATTATTCGAAAATGGCGAAAAAAAATCGTGTCTGCAATGATACGGGACAAATAAATGGTACAAATTCCAAATTCAATGATGATCCTGGAGGTTATTCGAAATCGGTGAAGAGAACGAAAATATCGGAGAATTCGAAAATTAAGAAATCAGCTACTTGCAAGAAGCAGGGACGAGAAATTGCTAATCTTGTAATTGACGCTAATGTTGGTCCGATTATTAGGGGACCGAGAAATAGACGTTTGAGGTGTCATAAAATGATTGGTAAGGAGACGGATGGTTTTATTGGGAATTCGGGATTTCAGAAGAGAAGAAGTATTCTTAATAAGCCAGTGAAACGTTCGGAATTATCGAAACGAAGGAAACGATTGAAAGCGGGAATTAATAAGGCTTGGAAATTACCAGCGGGAAATATTAATTTGAATTTGTCGAGAGGAAAGCAGAGGAAATCTTTGGAGACTGGGAGGAATTTTCAAGAAATTCTTACGAGAAACACGGATGTACAGGTATTTATTAAATTGGTTAATTTTATCAAAAATTATTGATATTATTTCGGAAATTAGTAAGGAAACGCTATTTCTTTTGCGCTTTACAACCAATCTTAATTTTTAATATATTATTTATTACTGGAAATTCTCTTTGAGTATAAAAGTAAATCAAAATTTTGATTCCTTGAATTTATTAATTAGAGTAAAATTTGAAAAGATTTTAGTTAAAAATAATTGCAATTTTTAGAAATAATTGAATATTAGAGGGTTTTAAACTATAATTTTTGAAAATTTCAATTTTTAATTTTAAAAAAATAATTAGAATTTTGAATAAAATTCTTAAAAAGTCTAAAAAATTAGGCTTTTGATAAATTTTAATTCAATTTTTTACAAATACTTAGATTCTTAAAAAAATGTATTAAAAATTTATAAAATATTTAAATAGAAAATTTGTAAATTTTATTTAAAATTCTGAAAATTTAAGATTTTAAAATATTTCTTTTAAAGATAATAAAATCGTTATAAATGAATTATTTGAAAATTCTTGAAATAATTGAAATTTTCTAAAATTCTGAACAAAAATAATTCTACTTTTTTTAGAATATTATCGAAATTTAATTTCTACAATTAAAATTTTTATCAGTTAATTAATTTTAAAATGATTTAAATTTAAACTTTTTTTCGAAAAAATTTTATCAAAAATTCATAAAATTCAGATTTTTAAAATGTTTCAGTACTTTTTTTATGGATAACTGAATTATTAAAGTCAGTTAATTGAAAAATTTAGAAATAATTGAAATTTCCTAAAATTCGGTTGGAAAATATAATAAAAAATTTTTTTTAATTTTAAAATTTTATAAAAAAAATAGCTGAATTTCTTGAGAATTTTATATTGAAATTTTTGAAGATAATAGAGGGAAGTTAGCCAACTAATTCTATTTTTAAAATAGGTAAACACTCTTAAAGTTTTGAATAAAATTTGTACTTTAATTAAAAAATTATCTTCTTTTTATAATTTAACTTCGCTTTGAATTTTCTTTATAGGAATAAGGGAAAAAGTCAAAATTCTGTCTGGAAATGAGCAAAAGCTTTGGGAAAACTAATTTAAATTTTGGTGGCAATCCTGTATATCGAATTAAATTTAATGAGTAAAAATTTGAGTTATGCAAACAAAATAAATAGTATAATTTTATTTAAGAATTTGAGCTCTTGAGAAGAATTTTTGTTATTGAATCAAGAATTTCTAATATAAATATAATTATAAATAATAATAAAGTACACGCTCCGGTGATCTGTACGCAGTTTGAAGTTAGTTGTTGTTTGCTTTTTTGTTTCTTAACTTTTTTATAATTTTTCTTTTCAAATATTTTTAATTTTAAAATTAATGTATTGAAAATCATCGAATTGTTGCAAAGAATTTTATCAAAAAATTTGATAATAATAGAATTCCTTCAAAGAATTTTATTATTTAGGAAAATAACTGAATTCTCGCGAAGAATTTTATTAAAATTTTTAAAAATCTTAATTAAATTCTTATGAAGAATTTCTTTTAATTTTTTTTTAAACTAATGGAGTTTCTTTAATAATTTTAATTGAAAATTTTAATTTTAAAGAATTTTAAATTCATGTTGAAATTGAATTTTATGGAAATTTTTGAAAATAATTAAATTCTTTCGTGTAATTTTATTTAAATTGGATTAAAAATAATTTAATTCCTGCAAAGAAGTTTAGTATTTATAAAAATTGTTGAATTGTTTCGAAGAATTTATTAAAATTTTAGGAAATAATTGAAATTTATGAAAATATTTTAAAATGTTTGAATTTATCCGAGTAATTCAATTAAAATTGTTTTGAAAATAATTGAATTCCTACACAGAATTTTACTATTTATAAAATTAATTGAATTCTTGCGAAGAATTTTACTATTTATAAAAATAATTGAATTTTTTCGAAGGATTTATTAAAATTTTAGAAAAAAATTGAATTTTTTCGAAATGTGTTAAAAATTTTTTTAAAAATTGAATTCTTTCGAGGAATTTAATTCAAATTGTTTTGAAAATAATTGATTTTTTGTAAAGATTTTACTATTTAACAAAATAATTGAATTGTTTAGGAGAATTTATTAAAATTTCAGAAAATAATTGAATTCCTTCGTGAAATTTTATTAAAATTTTTGAAAATATGAACAGTAATAATTAATTTTGTACTTAATAAGTGAATTTTTTTAATTTTGATTATTATTTATAATTATTTGGAAAATTTATATTTGAAAAAATTCAATTTTCAGAGGATCAATATGGAATCAGTGGAACATTTGGCGAAAAAATCAAGGATGGTCGACGCAGTATCGCAATGTTCATTATTAAATGAGCCAGCTATCAATTCCTGTTCTCAAATGAATGTTGAACATGAATATTCTCCTGATATACATTGCAGTAATGGACGTCTTTCAATTACAAAAGTAGAAGATGTTATTTTTGATGAAATTAAATCCGAGGAGGTTGTCGAATTTTCCGACGATGACGACGATAATGAATCAGTTGAGAGTCATGAGTTTGTCAATGGATTTGAAAGGCCTGAGGAGGAAGTGTATTCAAATCAAAAAACTTGTGATGAAAGATTAACTGATCAAGGCTTAGAGTCTGTATATAATATTTATCCCTTGATTCATCGAGAATCAGCATTTGTACCTGTTAATTCGTCGAGCAGTTTAAAAATAGCGCGATTGCGATCTATTGGATTCAGACCAATTCAAATGGAGGATGAGAGTGAATTCAATGACAATCTTAGTAGAATTAGCGATGTAGAGGAAAATTCTGATTCAATGACAAAAGAAGCGGATGAGGAATATAATAAATATACTAACGACAGTACAAGTGACGTTGGTTATATGGATGATGATCTTCATTATGAGGATATTGAGAATGAAGATACTAGCGATGTAAGCAAAAGAAAAGATTATTCTTCCAATGATGATAATTGTTTTAGTGATAATAATTTGGAGGAGAGTTTCGAGAGACCTTGGCACGGTTGGAAAAAAGTCTCTTCTAAAAATGGGGATCAATGGATTGGTTGGTGAAATTGCAAATTTTGTTTACTCATCTTTTTTTTTGAAAAAAAAACAATATTGCAATTTTCTTTTCTTTAGTTTATTGGGAAAAAAAATGTAATACAAGAGAAAGTATTCATTTTGTACTTTGAGTGCTGGTCATTCCCAAAGATTTGATTCTTTTTTAGATTATTGGAAAAATTTTTATTTTAGTCCTCTTTTTTGTATTTATATTAAAAAAAAGTCGAAGATTGCTTATTTTGTTTTTGTTTCTTTTTTTTAGTAATTAAACCACTTTTTCGATTAGTCGGATATTTTGGATTTATATGTTAATTAACTTCTATTATTGATTTATTACTTCTTTAAGTGTTTTGATTATGACAAAAAAAGTTAATATTTAAAATTCTCTAGCTCTTTAAGAACACTTTATTTTTATATTTTATTGTATTTGTCTGAACAATTAAGTTTATTTAATGTACCTATTGTATTAAAATTTGTTTAAAAGTGACATTTTTAAAGGAAAATAATTCCTGCGAATTTTTGAAATGTGAAAAATATAATTAAAATTCGTGGTAGAATGTCGACATTAAGTTATTTATGATTAGAGTAAATTACTTTTTAGTAAAATTGTGTCACTATTGTATTAAAAACAAAATTGTTTTTTAGAAAAAGAAAATAAATTTGTAAAATTTACGTTTCTTTAAAGAAATTAAATTTTAAAATCAAAAAATCGATTTCATTTTATTTTTCTTATTTTTTTCTTTTTTGAAAAAATGTTGTTGATAATAAATAATGACAAAATGTTCGACTTTTAACATAGTTGTTACTTTTTGATTATTAGGAAAATTAGATTAAATGTTTTTCTTTTTTTTTTATTCAGAAAATATGAAAATTCTATGTATATTTAGAAAATAGACATTTTTGTTTTATAAATAAATAAAAGTGTATATAACATTTAAGAAAAATATAATATAAACATTTTCTACCTCCTCATTAATAATTTATGTATTCATTGTATTAAAATGATTTAGTATTCTATTAGTTTTTCACAAACTTCTATATTATCAGTTTGTATTGTTTTTATTTCGCATCACAAGAGATGTAAAATTTTAATGAGAAGATAGGAATTGTATTTAATTAAAGACAATTTTTAGTAAATTGATGATGGTTAAGTTTAGAAAGAAGGGAGTTATCTAAATTTAAAAAAAAAGAATTAAAAATTTTTTCAAGCATAGACATACATTGATAAGTTTTGTTTAAGAAGAATATATATCAGAGGACATTAATTTTAAAAGTGAGAGGCTCTTTAAAAAAAATCTGGGTTTATTTTATTAGAATTAAAAAAAAGAAATGTTTTAAAAAGTGATCTCTGTGATTAGTCAGTAATATGTGTATATAATTGTATATTAAGGCTTGCGTGACGAGATATGTATTAGTTTTATTTGAAAATTCATTTATGTATTATCGTTGATGATTTTTAAAAGTTTACAGTGTCACGCTTAAATTTTGTACGGCTTAAAATCTTTATTGTATTTTTTTAACAATGTGCAATGGTTCAAATTATTGCATTTTAAATATATCAATAAATAGATGTACATATAATTTTTCTTTGTATTTATTTATTTTTTAAAATAATTTAATTCATTTAAAAAAATTTATTACCATTTTTGTTAATAATTGAATTCTTTTGAGAAATTTTATTAAAATTGTATTGAAAATAATTGAATTCTTGATAACAGTTTTATGTCTAAATTATTTATTTGCCAAGAATTTTAATAAAATTTGTAGAAATAATTGAATTCCTCTAAAGAAGATTAATATAATTTTTTGTAAATAATTGAATTCTAGGGAAGAGTTTTATTATTTATGAAAATAATTGAATATTTGCGAAGAACTTTATTAAAATTTTTGAACATAATTGAATTTCTTCGTAGAATTTAATTAAAATCTTTGAAAATAGTTAAATTGTTTAGAAGAATTTTATTAAAGGTTTTTAAATCTCAAAATTACTTAGAAATTGAAGTTGATATTTGAAAATAAAAAATTGTGTAATTTGCATAATAATGAAATTATTTGAATTAAATCAGAAATAAGTTAATATTTACTTTTCCGCAAAAATACCAGAAATTCAGAAATTATTTTTTAACACAAGAAAAGCTTAATATTCTAATGAAGAATCAATTAATAAATGATATATTTTATTTATCAGGTATCGATAGTTTATTTATATCTGATACATTTTTTTTAATCCGTTCATCACACACTCCCACTTAATTCCCATTCATGTTTTTTCACAGATCAAAAATTATTTAAACAAAAAAGATTTTTAGTATCCATTTTTTCTTAGTTTGTTATTAAATACAATCTATAGTAACGATATTTATATTTATATATATAGTATATACATTTAATATTTTTTTTTCAATCTAGGACGCGAATTGTAGTTTACTGCATCTTTCGAATCACATTTTTTTTTCTTATTTTTCTGGTATGAGAAAGTTTTTTGTTGACAGAAAAGCTCTTAGATCGAAATAGGTAATAACTGTTAAAACGCACAAAAAATTATCTATTATCTTTCTCGAAACAGAAAATTTCGTAAAAAGAAAACTTATTTATGATAAACAATCTTAAACTTGTATAGAACAGAATTATAAAAAAATAACTTATTATGTATTATTATAAATTCTACAGTAATGAAAAAATTGACACTATTTAAAAAGTAAAAATAAGTACTGAGACGATGTCCAAGTCCCGAAGCGTGAAAATTGTCAGTGATTCGTCGTGAACAGAAAAAATAGGGTTTTTTTTTCTTCTTTTTTACATTAACACATTGGCTGTCAACATCAAGATTTTTTTCAACACCAAGAATTCGTTTTTTTTAATTCTTTAGCCCTTATTATAATATTATACAGTAAAGAGAAAACTTTTTTATATAAAAGTATTATTAGGCTTTGACATTATAGTTGAAAATGCATTGCAAAAAATTTAAATGCCTCGACTAAGCGCAACTTTGTTAAAAATTCGGAAGTCCTTGAAAAAAAGTAAAAAAGAAACCACGCTTCGATAGTAAAAACAAATTATTATTGTTTTATATTATTTATATTGAGTATTATGTAAAAAGTGATCATTTTACTTTATTCGAGTTGTATGACAATTTAGACCTCGGATCGACTTTAAGGCGCCAAAAAAAGTCGCTTTTGTCAACTGAAGATTAAAAAAAAAGTATAGAAAAATTCGTTTATTTTATTTTTTTGTCACAAAAATTTAATTTTGTATTTCACTAATTTCTAAATTCAATTATTCAAAAATTAAATAATTAGTTAACAATTTTTCCAATTCCATCGTAAAAGAAGAAAAATTAATTTTTTAAAAATAAAATTAAAAAATATCCACATAATTGAAATTTAGTAAAAAATTTTGACAATAATTGAATATCTTAAAAGAATTTTTGGAAAATGTTAAAAAATATACTTTTTTTAAGCTAATTTTCATTATTCATTAAAATTTTCAATATATGATTCAAAATCATGTAAAAAAAAATTAATTATTTTCAATAAAATTTTACAAAATCGAACTAATTTGCATTTAATACAAAAAATGGTATTTTGTTGCAATGTTTAGAAAATAAGTTCGAAAAAATCATTTTTTGAAAATAAGTCGAGAAAAATGTCGCTTTTTTTAAAATAACCGAAAAAAGTCCAAAAAGTCGTACTAACCGAGGCCTGACAATTGTTTTAAACACTACAAAAGGTAGTTTATTTCCAATAACAGTTTGTTGCTAAAAATGTTGAAAATTGAAAAAATTCCAAGAAAAATTACCGAAAATTAATAATTACTGTTTATATTAATTAATTAATGTGTAATTAATAATTTAGTATTAATTAATCATTAATTAATTTGTAATTGACAATTTCCAATTATTATTTTATAATTAATAAATGTTCATTTATTAACAATTGGAAATTTGTCTTAAAACTTTCATCATTTGATTATAAATTTTCAATATTAGGGATTAAATTCAGTTTTTATTTATTATTTGTATTACCATTAAAATATATTTTTCAGTTTATTAAATTTAATTATTATTTTCTATTTATTTATTATTTTTTTATTTATTTTATTCGTTTATTATAAATTTCTAAATAAACTTTTCTTTTTTTTTAAATATTTCATTAGAATAAATTAAATAGGTATTTTGAAAACATGAAATATTTACAATTTTCAACACGAACTGTTTTAATTAAACTTCCTTAAGAGTGCTTTCCATTTAATTTTCTTAATTAGAACATAGAATTTATAACAAATGGACAGATTTTAACAATGTGTTTTCTTCCTTTAATTTATTATTTTCTAACTAGAGAAATTTTCCAGTCTGAAAATCAAATTACTCTTCAAAACTGTTTGCATGCCATTGATAATTATTTCCAATAGAATATTTATAAAATACAATTGCGTAAAAATTGGGGAAGAAATTTCAAATTTTATAATAAAAAATTTTCGAAAAAAAATTATTTGATTTGAAATTATTGAAATAGCAAATTAAAATTAAAATTGTGCTAAATTTTGATTAGTTAAAAAAAGCGCAGTTGCAAAGTAACAAGAACAAAAAAAATGCACTGCAAATAGAAGTGTTGCCTTTTGAAATTTTAGGCATAACAATATACGAGGCAGCAGACGTGTTAAAAATAATCTTGTGGCACCACATCCAGAACGATATTAACACTGCTTCGAACGTATGAGCGTATTAAAATAAATATTTTCTATACTATTTCACGTTGCGTTATTGTAACGATTTTTTCTTTAACATGAATATAACATTATGGATTAATAATACGATTCATGATTCGAACCTATTTCATTCAGTTTTCGTTTTCTTTAAAATTTTCTTTCAATATATAATATATATATTTTTTTTCCATGACAAGAAGGAAAGAAAGAAAAATTTGCAAATATGGAAAAAAAAATCGAAAAATTACAATCGAAGTATTTACATGAAACAAATTAAAATTTACAAATAGTATTTCGAAAGCTATTCTTTTTTTTCCTTTTCTTTCTTTATAGTATACCCCGAGTTTTTTTTTGTGTTAATTTGAGGTTTATTGCTTTTTTTTAGTATAAGATAAAAATCATTCAGACTGCGCGCACAGTGGTGAAGACAGAGTACGTCTTTGAATTTGACAATTAAATAATGTTTTTTTCATTTTTTATTTCCTTTTTTTTACTGAAACTCCTCATCACTGCTGAGTAACATTGTTTTTTCATTGTAATTTTGGGAAATAGTTGCGACACGTTGATGCGATGTATTGCGCCTTTGAGGTGGTGGAACTGGCATGTTTTGCGGATCATCCGGATCATAGCTGGAGACTCGCATACCTCGTTGACCTTTCGTACCTCCTAACATTAATTTTCCATCATTTCACACATTTTATCACTGTTCAATATTTCTGACAAATAAAAACACTGTACAGTTTTAAAAGTCGAACAATTTTTTTTGTAGAGAAACAAATTTTCTTTTTTATTCAATTTTTCTTGTCTCATTTTTTTCAAATTCGAATTTTTGGAATTTAATTTTTTATTTTCCATTTCAACTTTTTCAATTTAATTATCATTTTATGAACAAGTTAAATTAGAACTTTTAGAATTAAATTAAGCTGATTTTAAAATTAAATCTAGCACTTTTAGAATTTTTTTTCCCAAAATTTTCTTTATTTGAAATTTTGGTTTTTAATACTCGATACAAATAAATATTAATAGAACTAATAATTAAGAAAAATAATTTTTCAATTGTTTCTATTCGATGAAATTCAAATAATAAAATTTTAAAAGTAAAATAATAAGTAATTAATAAGTTCCAATCATAAGGAAAAAAATTTTGAAATTTATACCAATCGTCGAGGTTCAAGAAATAAAATTTGGAAAGTAAAACAATAATTTAGTATTATTAATTAATTTAATTTTGAGTGAAAATTGTTTTATATTATATTACTTATTTTTTTTATATTTTAAATCCGAAATTCTAGAATTCTTCTAGAGACTTTTATCAAAAATTCTCAAAATAAATCTATTTCTGCAAAAAATTTAATACAAATCATCAAAAATCCATTTAATTCTTTCAAGAAATTTAATTAAAATTATAATATAAAAAAATATTTGAATTTATACAAAGAGTTTTATAAACATTTTTGAAAATAATTGAATTTCTGTGAAGAATATTATTAACATTGTTTTTAAATAATAGAATTCTTTCGAAAAATTTTAATATAATTTTTTAAAATAATTCAATTTTTGCAAAAAATATTATTAATTTTGAAAATAATTGAAATCCTGATTAGATTTTTATGACAAGTTTTGAAAATAATTCAATTCTCTCCAGGAATTTAATTATTTGTATTGAAAATAATTGTGTTTTTATGAAGAATTTTATCAAAATTTTTTTAAATAAATTTATTTCTGCAAAAAATTTAATAAAAATCATTAAAAATGCATTTAATTCTTTCAAGAAATTTAATTAAAATTACATAAAAAAATATTTCAATTTACATATACCAAGAGTTTTATCAAAATTTTTGAAAATAATTGAATAACAATTAACATTGTTACTAAATAATTGAATTCTTTAAAGTAATTTTATTAAAATTTTTTTAAATAATTGAATTCTTGAGAAGAATTTTATTAATTTTGAAAATAATTGAAATCTTTCTAAAAATCTTTATTAAAATTTTCAAAAATAATTGAATTCTCTTTAGAAATTCAATTAATTATATTGAGAATAAGAGAATTCTTATAAACAATTTTCCAAAATTGCTCAAAATAATTATATTCTTTAGAGAAATTTTATTAAAATTTATTAAAATAATTGAATTCTTGCGAAGAATTTTATTAATTTTGAAAATAATTAAAATGTTTGGAAAAATTTCATTAAAATTTTCAAAAATAATTGAATTTTTACTAAAAATGTTATTAAAATTTTTGAAAATAATTCAATTCTCTCGAGGAATCCAATTAATTGTATTGGAAATAATTGAATTCTTATAAAGTATTTTACAAAAATCCCGAAATTGAATTTCCGGGAAGAATTTTATCAAATTTTTAAAATCCTAATTGAATTCTTTCGAGAAATTTTATTGAAATCGTATTAAAAATAATTGAATTTCTTTAAACAATTTGATTAAAGTTTTTCAAAATAATAAATAAGAATTAATTAATAAAATAAGTAAATACCTAATTGATTTTTTTTTAATTTTGAATCTAAAATTTTCTAAAATTGAAATTAATATTTGATTATAAATTTTTTTTTAAATTTACCTAATAATAATAAATTGAATACAGCGCGTAACATTTACTAGATAATTAATAATTTATTATTAAGTTCCAATAATAAAGAAAAAAAATTTTTTAAATTGACTCCAATCGGTAAAATTCAAGAAATAAAATTTTAAAAATAAAATAATTTTTATTGTTTTACTGTTATTATAATAACACGTTCTTAAAAGGATAAAAAAAAATTACAAATGATACGCAATATTGTAATATTATTTGCGAGTTGAATAAGATAAAAAAAATCGAATAAGATCTTGTCACGAAAAGACATTATTTTGTTTCTTTAGATTGTAAGACTTTTGTTGTCATGCTTTGATAGTTCGGTCGTTTATAAACTTGGAACAATACAGTATAAGAACTGACTATATTATAATTATTATTATAATTCTGTTACATTCCAACATAAAAACTAGATTACATCAGTATAATTACCAGCGACGCAAGATGATATGTGTTTGTTTATATAGCATTAAAAATCTCAGGTTACCAAATGCATCATGCAGTCCAAAGGAAAAGGAGAAGGGGTTACAAGACATAAAAGCTTGGGCATTGTCGTGCGAAAAAAAAGTTTGATATTAGAAAAACAAGAAAATACTTCCATAAGGAAGTAACAAAAAAAACCAAAAAAAAAAATACTTAGTTTTTGCTCATTCGCAAATATATCGAGTTAGGCGTGATTTGTTTTCGGTTTCTTTACCAAAAAAAAAGAAGCAAATGATTTTTCCAGAAAGTGAATTAAAAAAATTGCCCGAGTGTGAATGTATTTTCAAAAAGTTAGATTATATGTAGAAGGAGATATTTGTCGGCTGTTATTTATCGTCATTATTTTATTTGAAAAGCAAGCGTCACAGAATTATACCGTTCCGTTTACCCTCTTTTTTTTCTTAGAAAAAAATATTCTAATTAAATTATTTTATTCACTTTATAAGCAAACGTTATACGCTTAAGTACTATTTTTTATAATACAATAAGGCTGGTTAAGTCCTAACGGAGATACCTTGGACGGTTATTGTCAGTATTTCCATTTAATTAACAAAAGAAAACTGATTTTTTTTTTTTTTTTCTTTTTTGTCGCAGAAAATCAAAATTTTATAATGATCATCTGCATTATTAAAGCGCGTACAAAGAGATTATCGGTAAAATTGTATGTATATATATTTTTTTTTTTTGCTTTTTGTTGACTTTAGATCATTTTGGTTCTCTGCAAAGGACGAGTAAAAAGTCCGAAGTCCAATGTTTCTTGAAATAAAAAATTGAGATGCCTTGGGGGCACTTACAGCTTTTCGTAGGACAAGTTGGTATTGACGTCTGAAAAACAGCAAACAAATCCCTTCAATGTGCTGACACCCCTTTTTTAATTAATCTTTTTCATTCCTTTTTTTTTATCAAGCCGACTATAGACGTTGAGTGCCAAAAAAAATTTCTCTCTCGTGAAAATTATCTTTTTCTTTAAAAAAAAAAAACTAATTTGCAGTGTTCAAAGCGTGTGTCGTACAACTTTTGTTATTAAACACTCCGAGTTAATCCGATATTTGTTATTTTTTTTGCGATATAATCTCGCAAATTTTATTCACTTAAATTAAAAAGAAAACAGTCAACGAAGGTGGATTCAAATAACATTGCAAAATATATTATACAAAAGCGTCAATAAGAGGCAAAATTAAAAAAATTAATAATTTAAAATAAAAAAAGTAATCAAATGGAAGAAAATGGAATTTTTCTAAATTCTAGCTGACTGTTTTAGATTAATAAGTGCGCTGTGAATAATGCTTTGTGCTGTTAGTGAAATAAAAAATATTTTTCGAAAATTTACTATTTTTCTATTATGAAAAAATTAAGTTCGAAAAAGAAATTTAAATTTAAATTTAAATTTCTACGTGTAAAATTTTTCGAAAAATTACTATTTTTCAATTATGGAAAAATGAAACTAAAAAAAGAAATTCTTTATACGAATAATATAAAATTAATGAAATAAAATGAAATTATTTGAAAATAATTTTTGATACATTTGATATAATCTAAAGGTGTTTAAAATATTTTTGAAAACAATTTTATAAATATTAAACTTCTAGCAAAGCTATTAAAACACAAAAAAAATGTAAAATATCGATTCAATGTCAAAATGATCGATTAATGAATGAAATTTGTTTTTTCATTCGTTGCACATGCTACACTGAAATTGGCTACCGTCATGCCACAATACAAACTTCATAGTAAAAAAAAAAGTATCTTTAATGCTTGAACAATTATTAAAATTATAACAATTCATCCATACTTACCAGAACTGTATTGAGTATATTGTTGATATTGTGGATGAAAATTATGGATGGCATCAGTCATAATATCTTTTGGATTCATCGTCTCCTGTTAAAAACAAAAAAAAAATTATTTCTTTTCGTTTCCTTATTCGGTAATTAAGAAAACAAAAAAATTTGATTCTGTATTTTTATTCAGGAATTAAAAGAAATAAAAAGAATTTGTTTCTGTATTTTTATTCGTCAATTGACGCATTGATTTTAAATGGTAAAAGTGCCCTTTTAAAATCCGGAGCTTTAATTAAAAAATAAACAAAAAATGTATTACGTGAAATTAAGATCTCTCCCTCTTTAAAATTACGACAGTAATTTAAATTCGGAATTAATTAGAAACTTAAAAATTAAAAAACAAACTTAAAAATTTGTATTTAAATTTTGAATTTCCTTTTTTGAAATAATTATAATATTTTTAAATGAAAAAAAAATTAATCCACCTTTAGGCTGCTGCTAATACTTTGCATTGTGACACTTCGTCCCCTCGAGTCAGTGACGCAACCAGCTGCGTAAACTTGATACGGAAAAGCATATCGTAGGGCAATTGCGGCGAAGAGCATCTCGATGCAAATCAGGAAATTTTGATAGCCAGCTGACACAGTACCAGCGCTTGTCGATTGTCCTAAACTGTTAATAACAGGCGAAATAACCTGAGCCTTCTCGAAAATAGCCAAGAGCACACCTGAAACATTTTTTTCAAATTTTTGAATCGTAAAATTTACCAATAGAAATTTAATTTTAAAAAAGAATTCAATTCTTTCATGTATAAATGATTCAATACTTTTTAAATTTATCAAAATAATTTTTAAATTAAATTTAAATTTAAATAAATTTTAAATTTAATTAAAAATAAAAAAATCATTTTTTAAAATTTACTGAATAATTTACAAATAGAAATTTAATTTTAAAAAAGAATTCAATTCTTTCATGTATAAATGATTCAATACTTTTTAAATTTATCAAAATAATTTTTAAATTAAATTTAAATTTAAATAAATTTTAAATTTAATGAAAAATAAAAAAATCATTTTTTAAAATTTACTGAATAATTTACAAATTTCACGGAGAATAATTTACAAACAAAATAAAATTGTCCTTTTAAATGCAAAAGTAATTGAACTGAAAATTGTACCTTGCCAGAATGAGAGGAAGATGACACTCTTAACAGTGCAGAACTTAAGAACCGGATCGAAGGGAGTGAGCAGGTCTCGTGTAGCAAAATAGAAGAGAAAGAGCCCGTATAAGGCAAGTGAAACGCTGATGTTGTAGATGATTGTAATATAAATGTAACCACCATCGGGAGACCAGTCACCATCGCGATAATGTCCAAATGCTTGAAGAAATATTATGACAAACGCCATAACTGGTTTCACCAAACAAAATTGCAATGTCGCCTGTTTACAAAATCGCAAAAATCCAATTGTATAAGTTTTGCCGACTAAAAAACATGTCCCATAAAGGCAATTGGATCGAATTGGTTTACCACGAATCTCCGACATAATATTACCCTCACCGCCAAGATACTCATAGCACAAGGTCAAGAAATTGTAAATGACAAATGCCTCGTAGCAATCTCTCACTGTGAAGAAGTAAACATAATAACTTTCGCTATTAAAGAACATCAGTGAGATCCACGAATACGTTCCGTAAATTGGTACAATGAATAAAATTCTCACTATCCAACGTTGTTCCGTTGGATTTGTGTACCACCTTAGATGCTGATAAATCTGAAAAAAGGAATAATTTTTACAATTTCAATCGAATAAATAAATTATGAATGTCCCTGAATAGTTAGCGTAGACTCTATAGGCGTCAAAAATTATTATTAACAGGGTTGCCACAAAAATTTAATTTTCTTTTTTCCTGATTTCCAGAAAAAAATTTCACTTTTTCCCTGATCCTGAAAATTATTCTGATTCACTTCAAAAATTATTAGATTTGCAAAAAAAATGTTGTATTACATTTATTTACGAATTTCTTTAATTGTAAATTTATTCAAAAACATCAATAATTTCTTTTTTAAATAAATATTTAATCATTACCTATTATTTTTCTATAGAAATTAAGATTTTCAAATTCAAATCTTCTGAAATTTAATAACTTTTGAGAATAATATTATAAAACATTAAAACTTGCTACTTTGATACTGTAACATATTCAAAAATTATTTTCATCATTACGATTATTCATTTCTACAATTTTCAACTAAAATTCTTCTTTAAATCAATTTTTTTTTAAATAATTTTTAAAAAAGTTCTTTGTGAATTTTCAAATTCTTTTGTTTACAATTTAATTTTACAAAATTTCGATTATTCTGACATTCTTCAATTAAATATATTAGAAATTAAAAACTTCAAATAATTTTAAAACATTCAATTAAACTTATTGAGAAAAATTAATTCTATAGAATTTTTAATTAAAAGTATGATAAGTTCAAATTTTCAAAGATTTTAATTTGAAATTCATTTTTAAATCAATATTTATTTGAAAATTCTACGAGAATTCAATTATTTAACTAGAAAAATAAATATTTTATTAATCAATTTAATGTTTCTTAAAATAATTGAATTTTCATAAAGAATTTTATCAACAAATTTTTTAAATAATTGAATTCTCTTGACAAATTTTAATAAAATTTTTACGAATAATTGCATTTTTCGAGAAATTTGATGAAAATTGTATTAAAAATAATTGAAATTCAGCATTGAGTTTCATTATTTATGAAAATAATTGAATAATATATGAAAATAATTTGTAAATAATTGAATTTCTGTGAAATTTTTATTATTTATGAAAATATTGAAATATTTGAGTAGAATTTTATTAAAATTTTTATTAACTAATTGAATTCTTTTATAAATCATCAGAATATTCTAACTAGAAATTCAAATTTTCAAAGATTTTAATTTGAACCTTTTTCAAAATTCAATTATTTTAATTTAATTTAATTATTTATAATTTAAAATTTTAAGTAAAATTCATTTTTTAATCAATTTTTATTCGTAAATTATTGAAGAATCCAATTATTTAAATACAAAAATAAATAATTTATCAAATAATTGAATTTTTATGAAGAATTTTATCAAAAATTTTAAAAAATAATTGAATTCTTTCGGTGAATTTAAAAAAAAATTTAAGAATAAATGCAATTTTCTATCATTTTATTGAAAATTGTACAAAAAATAATTGAAATTCTGCGATAAGTTTTGTTATATTTATAAAAATAATTGAATTCTTCCAAAGAATTTTATTAAAATTTTTTTTAAAGAATTGAATTCCTGTGAAGAATTTTATTTGTGAAAATAATTTAATTCTGGAGAAAAATATTATTATTTATGAAAATAATTGTCTTGTGAAAAATTTTATTCAAATTTTTTTAAATAATTGAATTCTCGAGAAACATTTTATTATTTATGGAAATAATTGATTATTTATGAAGAATTTTATTCAAATTTTTTTAAATAATTGAATTCCCATAGAAAATGTATTATTTGTGAAAATAATTGAATTCTTAAGAAGAATTGTATTGAAAGTAATTGAATTATATAGGGAAATTTTATTAAAATTGCCATTTTATTAACTAAATTTTGTAAAGAATTTTTGTTAACATTTTTTTAAGTAATAGAATTTTTAAAAGAAGTTTATTTAAATTTTTCGTAATAATAGAATATCTCAGAACTATTGTTTTTGAATTTTCTGAATATATTTCAATTCCTTCGAGAAACTTCATTAAAAATTAAAAATAATTGAATTGGTGTGAAGAAATTTATAAAAAATTGATAAGTAATTGAATTCCTGTGAAATTTTTATTAATATTTTGTTTAAATAATTGAATTCTTTTAGAAAATTTTATTAAAATAGTAGATATTACAAATAATGGAAATGAGGAAATTTTTTGAAAATAATTGGAATTTTGCCAAGATTTTTATTAAATTTTTTGAAAATAATTGATTTTCGGAGAAGAATTTTATTATTTATAAAAATAATTGAAATTTTAATGAGAATTTTTAAAAAATTTTTGAACACACTTGAATTTATGCATAGAAGTTCATCACTTTTGAAAATAATTGAATTTCTGTAATCAGTTGCCCTTAAAATTTCTATTTAAATTTATTGAAAATTGGTATTTTCTAAAATTTCAAATTAAAACCTTTGAAGTTCATCTATTTATGAAGATTGTAAACGCAATTCTTTTGAAATCTAATTAATTTTGAAATTTTTAAGTAAAATTATTTATTAAATAATTTATAAGTAATAATTTTATGATAGTTGTTCAAGAATTAAGTTATTTAAAAAGATATTATTAGCAGAAATAGAAAAAATTAAAGGGTTTGTATTTGAATTCTTTGCTATTTCATAGTTTATGAGGCAAACAAAAAAGACACAAAAATTCAGAATTTTCTTATAAATTCAAAAAATTAAATTTTTTCCAGTACTTTTAATAAAAATCCCTGATTTCCCTGACCTGTGGCAACCTTGTGTAAGAAATTTTTAGAGATGTTACTAGCTTCAAGTATCAATTTTTCCGAATTTTAACCATGTCTTCAAAAAAGTTTATTTTTTTTTTTTTGGTTGGGTGAAAAAATATTTATTTATTTATTTTCGACGCTTAGCGTCGACGCCAGCTTCAGGGATCTTTCAAATAATAAAATAATGGAATAATTAAATGTGACACGCTTTCAAGAAGCAAACGAATTATAGGTTATTTTTTTGTCAGATTTATTCGAAATAAAAGTTCATTTTTAATTATGTAAATTCGAAACCAGTTCATACTGAATATTTAAGATGTGCTGAAGAGATAAACATCAATAATTTCTAGTAGTAATTGATTTTCTTTCTGTATTTTTACTCCAAAAAATTATAAACATAACCTGAAGTTTTTTTGTTTCTTCTTTCTTGGGAGCGTGTCACGAATAATAATCAAAATAAAAAAGTAAAAAGTAATCAAATACTAAGTAATAGCAAATCAAATAACAAAATTTAGTAATTCTGGTAGAATTCCAAAAATTTGGCACACGTACTTGTTGACATGTTAGGAAAAGTGCTAATGCTACGAATGCTCCAGCAATACCCTGGGCTGCTTTTGTTTGTAGAAATATAGGAGTCGGTTCGGTGTCCTCGCTTTTTGGCTCAACATTCACCATATTTATTAATGTTGCCGTCGTCGCGTTGATTGCAGAAGCCATAGTTGATGAAACTCCTGGTATAACACTAGTTGACATGACTGTCTGAAAAATAATATTCTTCGTTAGAAAAATTCATTGTTATTTAATTGCTATTCGAGAAGGGCGAAATCAATCATTTTTGCATCAATTTTTGAATTAAAAGAATCAAAAGAATTAAAAATTAATTCAACTGAAAATGAATTTCAAAAATTATTAATTTAATTAAAAATTAATTCAATTAAAAATTAATTAAACTACAAATTAATTTCACCAAAAATAAATTTAATTTTTAATGATCTTCACCAAAAACTAATTTAATTTTTGATAAATTTCACTAAAACTTAACTTAATTTTTAATTAAATTTACCTAAAAATTAATTTCACTAAATAATTAAATTAATTTCTTTTTTATCCCATTATTATTGCATTTCTACGAAATTAAATTAAATTTCACAAAAATATTTTTAAAATTTCAAGGAATATAAAAAAAAATGAAAACAAAATTACAAAAGAAAAACCTGCTTCATTGCTTTCGTGATTTTTTCTTTTTAATACTTTCGCGGAAAGATTGAATTAGAGATGATGATGATGATGAACAAATTAGAGCAAACGTGAGAAACTTGTTCGAGCATTGTTACCTTTTGGGTCAACTTTTATTTAGCATTTTCCCTTGTTTCACTTTCCTATGTGATGCTGACCTTCCTAAGCTAAACGCACGACCAATCAATACATTTTATGATCTAGTGAAACAAACACGACTTCAATGAGCAGTTAAAGAGTGAAAGTTACACATTGGTTATACATATAGGTATTTTGTATATATTCGCGATGTAACAGTCTCTCATGTACTTATATATATGTATATGCTTTTAGTTTTGAAAGTTTTAAATTAACGATATTTAAGAACACATCCTCCTTCCGCGTTACACATTTCTCTCCAGTTCACTGTCTCTCGTTTTATTGCAAATTAAAATGCTTCTTTCAAATTACGTAAATCGGTTCTTTGAATTTTGTATTTTTCAATTTTTTTCTCAATTGGAAAAAATGGGAAATTTTGTATTAAAAAATTAAAAATTAAAAAAAATTAATTAAAAAATAAATAAAAATAAAAACTAACTCATTGGAAAATATTATTTGTAAAAAATTCCAATTTGTTAAAAGGAATTTTAAATTGTTAATAAATTTAAATTTAATTTGTTAAAAAGAATTTTAAATTGTTAAATTAAATTGAAACTTACTGAAAATATTTAACAAATTAATTTTTGAGTGATGAAAAAATAATTGTAAATATTTTCGAATTTAGAAATTTTCTTTTCAATTTCATTGCTTTATAATATATTTTATTTATTTATTTTTCGTTTCATAAAATATTTGTCATCATATAACTGTTTGATGATGTATGTATGTAGAGCATTACATATCTTATAACAATTGACCTTCTTTATATGAGTGACCACTATGGAAATCAAGTTTCTTTTGCAATTCTGTTTTTTTTCCTTTAATATCCTTTAATAAATATAATAATAAAATGTGTTGAGTATAAATTGAAATGATGCTGCAACCCGGAAATGAGAAATTTGTAATTCAAAATTCATAAAACGTATGATTTTTTTTAAATTAAATTAAAATACCTACGAAAATTTCGAAATTTAAAAATTTGGAAATTAGAATAATTTTATTAAAGTAGCAAAAATAAAGAAAATAAATAAAAAAAAGTAGTAAAAAATGATAAAATGTAAAAATTTAAATTTTATAAAAATAAGTGAAAATAAATTAACAGGGTTGCCACAAAAATTAATTTTGTTTTTCCCTGATCTCCAGACAAAATTTTGACTTTTTCCCTGACCCTAAAAAATATTCTGATTCACTCTAAAAATTATTAGATACTCAAAAAAATTGGTATTACATTTACTTACGAATTTCTTAAATTGTAAAATTATTCGCAAACATCAATAACAAAATTTTTTAAATAAGTATTAAATTCTTATTTTTCCGTAGGAATTAAAATTCTTCAAAACATTCAAATTCAAACATTTTTAAAATTCAACAACTTATAAGAATATTGATATCTTCATGCTTTATAAAAATTTAAATTTCCATAAAATTTTTCAAAAAAAAATTAAATTATTTACAAAAATTATAATAAAATTCGCAATTATTTTCATAAATAATAAAATTCTTCACAGGGTTTCAATTTATTTATAATATAATTTAAAGTAAATTCCTAGAAAAATGGAATTTCTTAAATTTTGTACAACTCTGATTAAAATAAATCAATGACAATAAAAGTAAAATAAATTAAAATAAAAACAAAGGAAAGAAAACTACAAAAGACAATAGTAATGGTAAAATAATTATTTTAAAGATAATTTCAAGTTCCTTATCATTTGAAATTACTTAATTAGAGAATATAAAGTAGTTGCGTAGTACATAAAAATCGCAATCAAAATTAAACGATTATCCTTGCGAGTTGCGCGAATAATTTATTTTCAATGGCAAGTTTTTTAAATGCCTCCCAAAACAGTTAAAGTTAAATGTTTCAAAATACTTTGAAAGCCTCCTCAGGCAAAACACATATTTGGATAAACATGACTAATCAATATAAACTTGATAGATTTCGAGCTGTTATCTCTCTTACACCTATAAAAAGAAACAATCTCATTTTATTCGAAGAACTTTCAGCGTTTATTACAAGTGTATTAAAAGATAATTTCCATGACAATCGCACTAATTACACTCTACTTATTCATTAAATTTAAAATCAAAATTTCGTAAAAATTAAGTATAGTTACCGTATGGTTAGACCTTTTCAATTAAAAAAATAATAAAAACAACTTTTGACATTTCGCAACAAAACACATTGGAGAATTATAAACTGAAATATAAATGTAAATGTGATTTTGAAAGAAATCTTTCGAAAATTAGAGTTTATCATTTTCTAATAAGAAATAAATAAAAAAAAAGAGCCTTCATGAGAACCACATTCGACTACGTTGGGGTTTTAAGCGTTAGAATAGAAATCAATATTCACAACAACAACCAACTGACTACTCCATTTCTGTGCCAGTTTCATTTTTCACGGACACAATGAATCTTATTATTCTTCTTCTATATATGTATATATGAATCATTGTAATAATAATGAGAGAAAAATCTGAGAAAAAGAGAAAGGTGAAGAAAAGAGGACAGCATAACTTACCTGCTGCCTGCTGTCGGATTTCTTGATTCTTGACAGCGGACGGACGTTAAGGTCCAATTTAACAAGGCAATCCTACAGAGCGTCCGACAATTTGCAGATGTGACCTTTTGTATAAAACACTATTAATTCTTCTTTCCACGCGTTATTTTCAACTTTAATCACCGCACCTCACTAATACCTAACATTTTGAAAAACTTTTCTGCTTTCTAGCAGATGGGAAACAGTTGAAAATTGACAAAATATCGGAGGATAGCAAAACAGCTACTACACATAAACTGTCACTATCTTTCTTTTGCTTCATCTCCCTCTCTAGTCTCTCCTGGAAATAACTGGATTTATCATTATCCGAAGACTTTTGTCATTATGTTCAGGGTTTCGAGACCCTGTTATTAGTTGATATTTTTTTATCTAAATATTTATTAATTAAGTATTTTTTTCCTCGTCACATTAGTTTTAGATTCCGGATATTGTTGTGAGTGTTGTTTTTACTATTTTACTTGAATTATTTACGTTTATTTAGTTGTTAATGTTGAATTTTGAGGTTAGGTGAGCTGACAATGAATGACATTTCCACGACATTTCTTAAAGGATGTAATATCCTTTATGAATATTACATTTTACCTTTCTTTTTTTAACATTTAGATACTTCCCGAGTTTATCTTTGTCTTTTTACTTTTTCTCACGGTTGAAATTACAATTTTCTTTATTTTTTTAAAGGTATGCGAGTGCGCAACTATTGCGACTTTATACTTCAGTTGCGCATCAAAGTTATTTACATGTTTACATTATTAGTTATTATTAATTGTTAATTACTCATTATGCTAATCTTAATATTATTAATATACAAATTATAAATTTATGTTTCTGCATTTTCGTAAACGCGTAAAATACAACAAATTTTTCTGTGTAACAAATTTGGGTAGATATTATAATTTAGATACCAATTAAAATACTCACGAAGTAGTAAACCAGACAAATAACCTGTTTGTTATTTACATTTTTTTAATGAAATCGAGGAATTTTTCGATTTTGTGACTATAGTGAGATTAGTGAACAATGTTTAAAAAGTGTATTAGTGGAAAACATTTGAAAAGACCGCCTTTGGATTTAAAAGGTTGGCGAGCGTGGTGATCGCGTGTTATGTTTGTCAATCTGACGTGTACAAAATTTTACACGAGACTCATCTGTCACAATCTGTGCAGCTGTAGGTTAGGTTTTTAATTCGTTTAATAATAGTGTATTGTTTTTTTGTTTTGCAACAATGCTCGATCTTTTTACAATATTCAGCAAAGGAGGCATTGTCCTCTGGTGCTTTCAGAGTACATCGCAAATTTTTACACCCAGCGTCAATGCACTTATTCGTAGTGTCATTCTGCAGGTAAGCATATGATTACCTTGAATTTCAACAGTATGGTAAATATTATTTATGATTTACATATATGTAATTAAAAGGAGACTAAAGTCTCTAATTTGCAAGAATTGCTCAATATGTAAGTTTTTTTTCGTAATCCAATTATTCTTATCATCAGTTTCATCATTTTCCTCCATGAGGCTTGTTTAGATAATAATGTTTATTTATATTTATTATGCATTAAAACACGTGATTCACCTAGAAAGCATATTTTTATTTGTAACATCGTATTTTTTTAATATTATTCATTAATTCTTCGAATAAGGGGATTTTTGTATTGTTTACATTTGTACTTTTAGTTTGAATTTTGGAAATATTGGAATTTTTCCAGTTTATTTGGAAAAAAACTTGAGGGAGAGAGAGAGAGAGTAATTTTTTTATTTCTTTTAGGAACGTACCGGAAATCATACTTACGAGCATGAATCGCTTCGTCTTCAGTACAAGTTGGATAATGAATTTGAATTAATATTTGTCGTTGCTTATCAGAAGATACTTCAACTCTCGTATGTGGATAAATTTTTGAATGATGTTCATTTGGAATTTCGTGATCGCTTCAAGAATGAATTACAAAATTCCCAATGGTTTTTTGATTATCAATTCAAAAAGAGTTATGAGAGTATTTTACATTCTGCGGAAAATTGGGGTAAAACGCAGGCAAAAATACCGAAACAAATGCGAACTTTTGACGAAAGTCTCAAGTCAAAGAAAACCGTAGCTAGTATGATTGAACGAAAAGATGACAAGGAAAATAAAAAACAAGGTATTTTTTGGTATTCTGTTTAAATTTGTGGCTTATTCTTCTCTTTTTGGCGCATTTTATCTTTTTTCATAATTATTAATTTATCGGGAAATTTACTTGATAATAATTATTATTGGAATTTTGGTACTAATGAAAATTACTAATGGAGAGGGAAACTGCTCTTTTACGCTTTGTAGGTAAAAAGAAGAAAGGGACCAATGCTACTGATGATGATTCGAGTAAGTTAATTTGAATCTACTTTTTTTTGTAGATTTTGTAGTTTTTGGATTTTTTAAAAGCGGCTTTCATTAATTTTATTTCTTAGATTTTACTCATTAACACTTGTACAATATTTTTTTTGAAATTAAATACCTGTATATTTAATTTAATATATGTAATATAATTTAATTGTAATCTAATCTTATTTAATGTAATTCAATTTAATTGTAATTTTCTTTCAGTGGTTACACCAGAAGTTTCTCATGTAGAATCTCCTAAAGCAGTACAAAATGTAAGCGAAGATGACTCTGAGGATGTTTTGTTAATGAATCGAATGAAACTCGCTCAAAAGTTTTCCGGGCAGAAAAAGAAAGCTGACAAACAGTGAGTGATAATTTTATCGAGAATAGTTCTAAGCCTAAATAATGTTTTGGAAAAAAATAATGTTTATGAAAAATTAATTTCAGAAAAAGTCCAAAACCTGAGAAAGCAGGGAAAAAACCTCGTGTTTGGGAATTGGGTGGTACAACAAAGGATCTCGCCTCCCTGGAACGCACTAGAGACAAACCGGAGGATGAAAATAATTACGTTCCAGCTGATAAGACAGTAAATAAGAATTTTATTTAATTAAAAGACTCGTATTTTTTAGAAAAGGAAACTGTATATTTTTAGTTATTAATTATTATTTTTTATTAATATTATTTTTAATTATAATTGTTTCTAATTATTATTATTTTTCATTATTAATTAGATTAGATTAGATTTTGTTTGCTTTTTTGTTTTCTATCTTTATTAATAATTTTTCTTTTGAAATTTTTTGAATTTTAAAATTTACTTATTGAAAATCATTGAATACTTATGAAGAATTTTATTAAAAAAATTGAAAATATTAAATTCCTTCTAGAAATTTAATTAAAATTTCATTGAAAGTAAGTGAATTGTTATAAAGAATTTTACCAAAATAATTGAATTTCTGGAAAAAATTGTATTATTTATGAAGACAATTACACTTTCTTCAAGTATTTAATTACATTTTTTTCTTATAAAGAATTTTATTAAAATTGTTTTAAATAATTAAATTTTTACGATAAAATGAGTTTAAAATAATGAAAATCCAGTGAAGAATTTTATTAATAATGAAAATAATTAAATCGTTTTGAAAAATTTTATTAAAATAATCGCGTGTAGAATTTCTTTAGGTTTGTTAAAAAATAATGTATTTTTTTTAATAATTCGAATAATAACAATTCAAGTAACAATTGAATTTTACAAAAAACTTTTTAAAATAGTCGCTTCTGTTAATAATTGTAATTTTATTATTGAAGTTTATTAAACTTTTTAGGAAATAATTAAATTCTTTTGAGAAATTTTATAAAAATATTGAATTCATGCGATGAAATTTATTATTTATGAAAATAATTGAATTCCTATAAAGCAATTTATCAGAACTTTTGAGAATAATTGAATTCTTGCGAAGAATATCTTAAATTTTTTTCATATGATCGACTTTGTTAATAATTGTAATTAATAATAACTATTAAAATTTAATAACAGAAAGTTAAATTCTTTTGAATAATTTTGTTAGAGTTCTCGTAAATAATTCATTTCCTGTGTAGAATATTTCTTTAAGTTTGTTAAAAGTAATGTAATTTTTAAAAATAATTTTAATCGAAAATTTTGAAAATAATTGAATTTTACAAAGAATTTCTTTTAACATTTTAAAATAATCGTTTCTATTATTAATTATTGTAGTTAAAAATTTGATTATTGAATTTTATTAAAAATTTTTGGAAATAATTAAATTCTTCCCATAATTTTAATACAATTCTTTTAAAACATTTTATCCAAACTTTTGAGAATAATCGAATTCCTGCGAAGAATTTTATTAAAATTTTTGAAAATAATAAACAACAATAATAATTAATTATGAACTTTAATAGGTAAATTTTTCAATTTTTGAATCTGAAATTATTAAAAAATTGAAGTTGATATTTGAAAATAACAAAAACGAAAAAACAAATTTGAAAATAACAAAATAATTTGAATAATAATAATAATTAATTATTAATTTTTTATTACTAATAATTAATTTTTTCAGCTAATTGGCATGATGAAGGGCGGAATTAAAGATCTAGAAGTGGACAGTGATTCAGAAATGGAAATTGAGGATGATGAAGATGAGGAAGAAGTGAAAGTAAATAAACCGACAGTACAAAAGAAATCTAGTGGAATGTTCTCCATGTTCAAGAGTCTTGTAGGAAATAAATCGTTGAAGCACGAAGATATGCTTCCAGCGCTTGATAAATTTAAAGATCATTTAATCTCAAAAAATGTTGCTTCCGATATTGCGGGTAAACTCTGCGATTCAGTTGCCACAAAACTCCAGGGCAAAGTTCTTGGTACATTCGAGAGTATTGCAAGTACAGTGAAAGCAACATTGAACGATGCCCTCGTGCAAATTCTCTCGCCAAAGCGAAGAGTCGATATTTTACGTGACGCTTTTGAAGCAAAGAAAAATAGTCGACCCTATGTCATGGCATTCTGCGGTGTCAATGGAGTTGGAAAGTCAACAAATTTAGCAAAAATTTGCTTCTGGCTGATTGAAAATAATTTCCGTGTTTTGATCGCCGCTTGCGATACATTCAGGTGATTGTTTAATTAATATTAATTAATTTATTAATATTAATTGGTTATTAATTTTTCTTGGGTTTTTTCTCTCTTTTTTCAGAGCCGGAGCTGTTGAGCAGTTGAGAACGCATATGCGTCATTTGAATGCACTACATCCGGCGGAGAAGCATGGAAATCAAACGATGGTGCAACTTTATGAGAAGGGATATGGAAAGGATGCGGCGGGTATTGCAATGGAGGCGATTCGTTTCGCAAAGGAATCGAGATTCGATGTTGTTTTAGTTGATACCGCTGGAAGAATGCAAGACAACGAACCTTTGATGCGAGCTTTGACCAAATTGATCAAAGTTAATGATCCTGACCTTGTTCTTTTTGTTGGAGAGGCGCTTGTCGGTAATGAAGCTGTGGATCAATTGGTCAAGTTTAATCAAGCCTTAGCTGATTATAGCAGTTCTAATAATCCTCATATTATCGACGGTATCGTACTGACTAAATTTGATACTATAGATGATAAGGTAAAGAGAGTTCATTTACTTTTGAAAACTTATACTCGTGACAAAATTTATTATTAAAAGTTTTCTCTTCGAACACTTTTCCTTTTTTTATTAAAATTATTTATTAAAAATTTATTTCAATAATTGACCTCGGATAATATGCTATTTTCGAAATTATTTAATTTTAAAAAATTATTACTTTTTTCTATTTATTTTCATAAAATGCGACTTATTTTTACTTTTCTTTTCCGTATGTTGCAACAAATTAATGTTTTTAACTGATTGAATGCTCCAAAAATTTTCTGAAAACAAAAATAATTGATTTAGTGAAGAATTTTATTTTTAAAAAAATAAAATTTTGTATTTAAAAAATTCAATTCTCGAAAAATTTTCTAAAAATTATTTAAAATGAATTAAATTAGATATGAATTTTTGCTAAGCACTTCATAAAATCATTGAATAATATGAGAAAATAAAGTTAACATTATTAAAAATATGTTAAAACTATTAAAAATATGTTAAAAGATTTCAAACAAAAAATTTCTGAAAATTTGAATTTTTAACGATTTGAATTAAAAATTATGGAGAACTAAGATTTTTGAGAAATTCATAATTTTTGGAAATTAGTTGAATTTTTGAATACATTATTATTTAATTAAAAAGCTTTCGAATAATCGAAATTTCGTAAAATTTAATTGAGAACAATTGAATTTTTATTTTATAAAGTGCATTTTGTTTTCTCTTTTCTATAATTAAATTATTGTATAAATTTCATAAAATGAGTGAACATAATTAAATAATTGATTTAGAGAAGAATTTTTGTTAAAAATTCTAAAAAATAATTGAAATTTATGAAAATTTGAATTTTAAATGATTTTAATTAAAAATCATGGATATTTTTGAGAAAGTTTAATTCACAATTTTTTTTATATTGGTTGAATTTTGGAAAATATTATTATTTAATTAAATAGCTTTTGATTAATCGAAATTTCGTAATATTAAATTGAAAATAATTGAATAATTTTTATGAAAATATTGAAAATAATTGAATAATTGGTTTAAAAATGAATTTTTATTACAAAATTCTAGAAAATAATTGAATTGAAAAGAATTGAATTTATAAGATACGTGTTTTAACCTGATTTGGTTGTTCCTTTTGTTTAAATGAATTATCGAATAATTTTCTTTAAAGTATTAAAAATACTTGAATAATTGATATATTTAAAGAAAAGTTTTATTTAAAAAAAAATTGAATTATTTATTTAAATAATTTAATTCTCGAAGAATTTTCTGGAAATTATTAAAAATAATTGAATTAGAAAAGAATTTTATTTTCAAAAAATTGAAATTTTATAGTTAAATAATTGAATTTTCCATGTATTTTCTAATAATTTTTAAAAGTAATTGATTTGGATTTTGGAGAAATTACAGCAGCGATTTTTAATAATAATTAAATTTCAGGAAGTTTTAAATTAAAAATTTTTTGAAAATTTTAATTTTTAGTATTTAATAAAAATGGTTGTTGTAATTTTTAGAGTTAATTAATTTTTTACTGTTGAAATAGCTTTTTTCTTTTACTAAATTGTATTACAATTTTTTTATTTTGTATTTTTTTTTGTAGGTACTTTGAATCGACGACTTTGTTTTGATCCTTAAAATCGATCCGAAGCCTGAAATAATTGTATTAATTCTCATTTTAATAATCTAAATAACCAAAAATTATTTTCAATTTTTGATAAATTATAAATTTTGTCACAAATTACTTTCACAAAAAATATTTCAAATTACTCTCATGTTATGAAAATGAATTTTATTTTAGGTTGGTGCAGCTATTTCGATGACATATATCACTGGCCAGCCAATCGTTTTTGTTGGAACTGGTCAAACCTATACAGACCTTAAATCGTTAAATGCAAAGGCTGTGGTACACGCTCTGATGAAGTAAATCATGTTCCATTATATAAATACTGAATACATTCGCATTATTTATCATTGCTAAGAATTACGAAAACAGTTTCAATTACTGTAATTATAAGAGAAAAAGAAAAGAATTTATTGCTTCTATTATATACGTGGAGGGAATTTATATATTTAATAGGAAGATTTGCTTCGTGGGGTTAAATATTATTATTATTTTTTTTTGTTTGTTATTTTATACCAATGTTTTATTTATTAAATAGATCAATTGATAACTAAATATTTAATATAAATAGAAAATTTCGTTAAAAGTCGATTAAAAAGTTCAAGTACACTTGTTACTTTTTCAATTGTCGTGTTTATTAGTTTACAGAATATTTCTCCTATATATTGAACTTTTTAATTAGAAATAATTAAAGCTTCTAGTTATTAAATATTTTTTTAAAATGTATTGTCTCTACATACGTCTATAGTTTCACAATGAAAATAGAAGAAAATAGTATCTTTAGACTGAGCTACTTTTTTCCAATTATATATATAATGAAATAAATGATTGTTAACAATTATCGACACGTTGTTATAAATCGTCTTTTTATAAATTAATATACAATGTACATTTTATTAAACGATGAATAGAGTGATATGTGTACGTTGATCGTTTTTTTAATCTAAACTAAACTAACATTAATATTTAAAATAGATTAAGTAATATTTTTTATTGATAAATATTAATTAATAGAGAACTTTTTAAAAATGCTTCTCTTTTGAAGGAAATTTTACGTTTTTTTTCCTAAATGAAAAATTTTGAAATGGCATTTTTTTGCTTTTCATTTTTTTTTTAAAAACAGGGAATTTATTATTACAACACGAGTAATGTGGAAGTTATTTTGAAATACGGGGAAATGCGAGTTAATTTTCAAATGTGTCCCATTGGCATTTGATCTCGCATTCCATCTGAGTGTTTTGAAACCTCGCTCATTGATTCTTCTTCCAATTCCCAATGCACCGCGTCGTCGAATTTTTCATCCTCTTTTATCGTTCCACAAAATGACGTTCTAATAATTAAACCTAAGGATTAAAAAAAAACAATTTTCAATCATATACAAATTTTTACAGTATTTTTGTTTTTTCTTTACATTTGAAAAATTTTTATTTAAAATAGGTCGAAAGAGAATAAAAACATTTTCATTTTTTAACTATAGTTAATTTTTATGTGAATTTTACTCTTAAAAATACAAAAATTTCGATTTGAAATAAACTGGATGAGAATTAAAAACATTCGCTATCTATTAATTTTTTATACTATTGATAACATTTAATTTTTTATTGTCTTGAATTAACAGTTTTTATTGTATAATATATTTATAAAAGTTCACTTGTAAAATGTGTGAATTTTTCATTTGAAACATTTTTTTTTCTTCTAAATCTATTTTATATTGTTTTGTATTTTTAATTGGTTGAAAATATTGTGTTATGCATTTTTGAAAATACATAGGTACTATTTATTGATATTATTGAATTCTTTCGAAGAATTTATAAAAAAATGTTTAAAAACAATTTTATTTTCCTTGGAATTTAATTTAAATTGTATTTAAAATAATTGAATGACAGGGAAAATTTCAATGTTTATGAAAATAATTGAATTCCTAAATTAAATTTTTTTAAAAGATTTTTAAATAATTCAATTATTTTTTAAAAAAATTGTATTTTCACGGAGATTTTTTACAAGATTTTTAAAAGTTCACTTATTAAGTACAAAATTAATTACTACTGTTCATATTTTCAAAAATTTTAATACAATTTCACGAAAGAATTCAATTATTTTCTAAAATTTTAATAAATCCTTCTAAACAATTGAATTATTTTTTTTAATCGTAAAATCTTTACAAAAATTAAATTATTTTAAAAACAATTTTAATTGAATTTCTCGGAAGAATTCGATTTTAAAAAAAAATTTTAACACATTTCGAAAAAATTCAATTTTTTTCTAAAATTTTACTAAATCCTTCGAAAAAATTCAATTATTTTTATAAATAGTAAAATTCTTTGCAGGAATTTAATTATTTTCAAAACAATTTTAATTGAATTCCTCGAATAAATTCAAATATTTTTAAATATTTCCAAAAATTTCAATTATTTACTAAAATTTTAATAAATTCTTCGAAACTATTCAACTATTTTTATAAATACTCTAATTTTTTGCAGGAATTAAATAATTTTTAATCTAATTTAAATAAAATTACAAGAGAGAATTGAATTATTTTCAAAAATTAAATTACTTTCAATGCAATTTTTAAATATATTCGTGAAAAAAATTGAAAGAATTCAATTATTTTCAAAAAATAATAAAATTCTGTGAGGAATTCAATTATTTTGAATATATTTAATTGTAATAAAATTCTTTAAAGAAATTCAATTATTTTCGAAACAACTTTAATTGAATTTCATGAAAAAATTTCATTATTTTTAAATATTTCTATAAAATTCTTTAAAACAATTTAATTATTTTGTAAAATTTTAATAAATACTTCCAAACTTTTCAATTATTTTTATAAATAGTAAAACTCTTCGCAATAAAACAATTACTTTTATAAATAATAATAAAATCCTTTGCAGAAATTCAATTCTTTTCAAAACAATTTTGATAGAATTCCCCAAAAGAATTTAAATTTTCATATATTAACATAAAATTAATTAATTTTTAAAATTTTAATAAATTCTTCGTAAAAATCCAATTATTTTTTTATAAATAGTAAAATTCTTCGCAAGAATTCAATTATTTTCAATACAATTTTAATAAAATTCTTCTTCGTAAAATTCAATTGCTTTCAAAATTTTCAATTAAAAATTAAAATTATTAAAGAAACTCCATTAGTTTAAAAAAAAAAATTTTTATAATTTTTAATAATTTTGAATTTTTTACCAAAGGATGGAGACTATTAATGAAGTAAAGTGTTTTTGTAGAGCCCAAAAATAATTAAGCTAAATGCCATAAAAGAGAAGAAAAAATGTTGAATTTTAAGAAATTCGGTTTTTCAAAATTTTGATAATTTTTATAATTTTGAATTTTTTACCAAAGGATGGAGACTATTAAATAAGTAAAGTGTTTTTGTAGAGCACAAAAATAATTAAGCTAAATGCCATAAAAGAAAAGAAAAAATGTTGAATTTTAAGAAATTCGTTTTTTCAAAATTTTGATTTTTTTTACCGAAGGATGGAGACTATTATTATTATTTTCGAAACAATTTTAATAGAATTCTCCGAAAGAATTTAAGTTTTCAAATATTAACATAATATTAATTAATTTTTTAAAATTTTAATAAAATCTTTCGGATCAATTTAATTATTTTTATAAGTAGAAGAATTCTTCGCAAGAATTCAATAATTTTCAATTCACATTTAATAAAATTCTTCTTCACAAAATTCAATTGCTTTCAAAATTTTGAATTAAAATTATTAAAGAAACTCCATTAGTTTAAAAAAAATCCAAAGAAATTCTTCAAAAGAATTTAACAAGAATTTTTAAAAAATTTAATAAAATTCTTCTCGAGAATTCAGTTATTTTCCTAAATAATAAAATTATTTGAAGGAATTCTATTATTATCAAATTTTTAAATAAAATTCTTTCCATCAATTCAATGATTTTCAATACATTAATTTTAAAATTGAAAATATTTGAAAAGAAAAATTCAAAAATTTAAGGTACAAAAAAGCAAACAACAACTAACTTCAAACTGCGAACAGATTACCGAAACATGAACTTTACTGTTATTAATTTTTTAATTTTTCAATGAAATTTGAATTGATAATAATTATATTAATGCAAAAATCAATTTTCAATTACATATTAATTTTTATTAAAATTAATTATTTTAATTATCGATTTATTTAATTTATTTATTTTTCAATGAAAATGGAATTGAATAAAAATATATTAATATAATTGCGTATTAGATAGTTTTCAATTATTAATTTAATTGAAATTTAATAAGTTCATTTATACTTTGAATAATTAATTTTAATAAAAAAAAACTTAATATCATTATTAAAATTTTGATTCTATTTGTTTCGTAATTTTTGAACATATTTTTTGTGTTCCTGTAATTAAATTGCATATAAATAATTAAATTATTAGAATAGTAATATTCGATAATTGACAATATTATAATGAATTACCAGTGATTAATCCGGATATAATGGCAAACACGATTGATATCACGAGGGCTAATAATTGATAAGCTGCTTGTTGACCAGCTGTTCTATTCAGGCCCGGTGATATATTGTAATTGTCTCTCATCTCCGCGAGTTTTCCCTCCTCACTGGGAGCGCGAGCTGGAAAAATCTGCGCAAATAAATTAGTAAGATAATTGGAATTTTTCGCTTATACGGGAAAAAGAATATTTTAACGGTTAATTATTATTTATATACTTCATAGAGAGAGTAATTGTAGGCATCTTCCGAGGCAATTCCTGACATTAAAGCACCAAAAATTCCTGCCAACACTCCTGGCATTCCATGTAGATTATGAACTCCGCATGTGTCGTGAATCCTCAGCTTCTTCTGGATTAAGGGCTGGAAATTTTCAAATTAACATTTTCATTATGTATGTAACTTACATGCCTTGCTGGTTATATTATTTATTTCACTTTCATTAATAAATAATAATTATATTATCATTTTAGAGTAGATGTCGGAAAGTATATGGATTTTTCGATTTTTTTTTACTATTTTTATAAAATGCGACTTTTTTTTTACTTTTCTTTACAATAAAATGTAATTTTTTTTGTATAAATTGCAACTTATATTGATTATTATAGAGGGAAAAATAACAATAGTAAGGTCTTTTTTTTGTAAATGTTTTACTTTTTTTGCAAGTCTTTTTTAGAGTATAAAATATATATTTTTATGAATTTTCAAAATTTATTTTTAAATTAAACTATTTTTAATATTTTTTTAAAATGAATTTTGTCAATAACTAAATATAAATAACACATACGTTTTCTATGTCCTTTGAAATTATTCAAAAGCTTAAACTATTGCAATTGAATTTTCTTTATCACTTTAAAAACTGAAAAAAACCAAAGTTCTAATTTTAAAAAAATCGAATTTTTGTATTCAAATAATTAAATGCTGAAAGAATTTACAGAAAACTAGTTAAAAATAATTCATTTAGAGAAGAATTTTATTTAAAAAAATTAAATTCTAGATTTAAATATTCGGATTTTCTATAAGATTTTTCTGTAAATTTTATTACAATAATTAATTTAGAGCAGAATTTGTTTTTAGAAAAATGAATTTCTTATTTAAATAATTGAATTTTCAAAGATTTTTCAGCAAATTATTGAAACTAATGTATTTAGAGAAGAATTTGATTTTAATAAAACTGAATTTCTATATTATTATAAATAATTGAATTCCTAAAGAATTATTGACTTTGAGAAGAATTTTATTTTGAAAAAATTGAACTTTTTTATTTAAATAATTCAATTCTAGAAGATTTTTCAGAAAATTGTTAAAAATAATGTATTTAGAGAAGAATTTTATGTTAACAAAACTCTTTATTTATAAATAATTGAATTCCTGAAGAATTATTAATTTTGAGAAGAATTTTATTTTTAAAAAATTGAGCTTTTTTATTTTATTTAAATAAATTGAATTCTCGAGGGATTTTTTGAAAATTATTAAAAAATAGATGATTTAGGAAATAATTGAATTTTGAAAGTTACAGTAGAACTTTTGAGAAATTACATTAAATTTTCAAAAATAATTAAATTTAGAAAGACTTGAAACTGAAATTTTTTAAAATTTGAATTTTAAATAACTTTAATTAAAAATGCGGAAAAATAATTGATTTAGAAAATAATTATAGGGGAACATAGTCTAGGTCGGCCACCTTTTTGACTTTTGTTTATAACTTTTTTTTAAAAATGAATTTGGACAATTGAAGTATATGGTTGGAAAGTCCTGTTTAATAGGAAAATTTTTTCTGTACAAAGTAAATTGACAGGTTTAAAAATGAAAAAGTTATAAAGATTTAAAAAAAAAAAAATTTGTAGTCCAGGTTAGCCATTACAGTCAAGGTCGGCCATGTTTAAAATTCAAAGGGCATTAATCGTTAAAAAATAAAATAACATGTTTGGAGTTACGGAAAATTGATTCTTTATTGTTTACAGTTTGTAACTTAATGAAATAACAAAATAATAACAATAAACAATATAAAAAAATAAATATAAATAAAAAAAAGTTTTGCACTAAAATATTAATAAAATTAAATAAAAATATTAATAAGATGATCAATTATATTATGAGTTATACAGAATTGCAGTTTTTGCAAATGAAGTAGCTCGTCCTCAACTTTGCGCATTTTAAACACATAGTGGCCGACCTTGACAGTAAGTAACATTACCGAATTGTTGTAAACAAAAAGAAATACGTTTCGGGATTCGATTTTTTACTTTGTTTTCCTTTCAACCATGAGTCCCACAAATTTTCTGCATACTTGCCTTGACGATTCAATTTGTTTTTTATCTTTTATTAATGGTTTTTCACATTATGCACAAAACTTTTTTTGAGCTTTTTTTGTACCGACGTCACAGAAAACACAATTTTCGATTTTCCGAAAATGTAATTGAACAAAAAGTTAGGTTTCACTAAGACAAGCTTCGACAAAAATGCGCGTAGGTGGCGCTAGTGAACTTGACAAAAAAACGCGAGTGGCCTACCTAGACAGTAGGCCAACCTTGACTACATTCCCCTAGTTATAGCAGAAAATTGTAGAAATAATTAAAATTTAAAAGGTTCCAAATTAAAATTTTGAAAAAACTTGAATTTTAAATAACTATAATTAAAAAATTCCCACACCTTAATTTCATGAAAAATTTTAATTTAAGTGTTTTTGAAATTAATAGCTGAATTCTTGAATAAATAAGTATTTAATTGAAAAATTGTCAAATAATTGAATTTTCGTAAAATTGAATAGAAAAGAATTTAATTTTAGTTGAATTTGTAGTCTTTTTATAAATTAAATTTTCAAATAAACACTTCCATGAAGAATAATTGATATGGAGAAGAATATTAATTAGAAATTTTAGAAATAAATTGAATTTTGTCAGTTATTATAGTAAAAATTTTTATTAATAAAAAATAAATAAAGTATTTAAAAATAATTAAACATCAAATGGTTTCAAATTTAAATTTTAGAATATTTTTACCCGTATACACATGAAATAAATAAATAAATAAATATTTTCATTGATGTTGGAGTTCAATAACAATTTAAATATTTATTTGAAAATATTATTAAACATTTAATAATTATAGTCATAAAAATTCTAGGAAAATAATTGAATTTTTGAAATTGAAACTTTTTGAAAATTCTAATTTCTGTGAAAAACTAAAAAACAATAAGTATGTTAATATTTATTTAAAAAAATTAAATTTATAAACAATTTAGAATTTCTGAAAAAATTATGTATTTGAAAAGTTTTAATTGAATTTTTTTTAAGGTAATTGAATTCTCTAAAATAATTAATTGAAAGATTTTCAGAAAATTGAAAATTTCGTCAAATTTCATTGAATGACAAAAAGAAAAAAGTACGAATAATTGAATTAAAAAGTAAATAAATAAACAATTTGTGATAAATTTGAATAAAATAAACGATTTTTTAGACTTTTTTGTACTTCGAATCTACGAAAACGTCATATTTTTTGCGTTTTATATTAATCGATTCAAACTTGCAATGATAAATATTATAAAAGTATAATTGCTTAAAGTTTGTAATTATTTTTTTAAAGTGAAATTAAATAAGTACAAAGTTTTGTTCTATTTTTTTCAATTAAAGTGTTTATTGGCTTTCAAACGATTAAATTTTTTTTTTTTTTTGGATTGGAAAAGAAATGCTAATAACGCACTTTACAGAGTGGATATAAACATTTTTAAAAAGCAATATCTTGATTAACCAGAAAAAAAGAATTGTTTCCGATTTATAGAAATTTTGATTTTTTTTTCTTCTCTTTCATTGAGTTAATAAAGCTTTTTGAATTGAAAAAATGTCAAATTTTTGTATTGAAGGGAAAAACAATTTTCCCGCATGAATGAAGGGAGAAAAAAATTTTTTATTTTCTGAATATTGTGGATGTAAAAAAATATATAAAAATGTAATAATTTGATTACCGTGAGGTATTTGTAGCCTAAAACGCTAAGCACACCAGCAGCGCAGCCAATGACCAGTGCTCCGATTGGTTCGCACATCATACCTGTATCCACGAATAAAGCTTATTTACTGCAAATAAAATGCGAATTGTTTGAACGTAATTCGTTTACGATTCATTTAAAAAGTATTTCATACCAGCGGCTGTACCAATTGCAACTCCACCAGCCAGAGTGGAATTCTGAACATGGACCATGTTAAACTTGTTTTCTTTCGAAACAAGAGCAGACACAGCAAATGCAATTACACAGCTTGCAGTAAGTGATAATAATGTATTTATTATAGCGCGCTGCTGATCGTCGCCTTTCAAAGAAGCGCTGTTAAAGGAGGGCCAGAATAGCCAGAGAAACACCGTTCCTATTTTTTTTTTTTTTTTTTTTTTTTTTTTTTTTTTTTTTTTTATAGGAAAAAAGAAAAATTATTTATATTTTTTCAATTTTCTTGGGGAAAAAAGGAAAAGTAATTTATATTTTTTCAAACTTTCTTGCGGAGAAAACAGTAAAATAATTTACATTTTTTCAACTAACTTGGGACAAAATAAGAAAAATAATTTATATTGTTTCAATTCACTTTTGATGAAAAAGAAATTTAATTTATATTTGTTCAACTTTCTTGAGGGAACAGAAAAGTAATTTATATTTTATCAATTTTCATTTAAAAAAGAGTAAATTAATTTTTATTTTTTCAACTTTCTTGAGGAAAAAGAGAAGTAATTAAGTAATCAATTATTTCATTAAAAAAGGCCTCCAGAATTACATTATCAGGGTTGCAACAAAAATTTAATTTTGTTTTTCCCTGATTTCCAGAAAAAAATTTTGACTTTTTCCCTGACCTTGAAGATTATTCTGATTCACTTCAAAAATTATTAGATTTTCAAAAAAATGTTCAAAAAAATTTATTTACGAATTTCTTTAATTGTAAAATTATTCGAAAACATCAATAATTTCTTTTTTAAATAAATATTTAATCATTACCTATTATTTTTCTATAGAAATTAAGATTTTCAAATTTAAACCTTCTGAAATTCAATAACTTTTGTGAATAATATTATAAAACATGAAGAGATCGATTCCTTCATGTTTTATAACAAATTTAAGATGACAGAGTAATAAAATCATTATTTTATATCATAAGAATTAATATTGTAACTATAAATTCAAATTTTCAAAGATATTAATTTTAACCCTTTTCAAAATTCAATTATTTTTAAAAATTCACGTTATAATGCTTTTAATATTCAAATATAATTTAAAATTTTAAGAGAAATTCTTTTTTTAATCAATTTTTATTAGTAAATTATTCGAGAATTCAATTATTTAAATACAAGTACAAAAAATTTATTAAATAATTTAATTTCTATGAAGAATTTTATCAAAAATTTTTAAAAATAATTTAAATCTTTCGGCGAATTTAAAAACAAATTTTAAGAATAAATCCAATTTTCTATCATTTCATTTAAAATTGTCCAAAAAATAATTGAAATTCTACGATAAGTTTAGTTATTTATAAAAATAATTGAATTCTTGCAACAAATTTTATTAAAATTTTTTTTAAATAATTGAATTCCTGTGAAGAATTTTATTTGTGAAAATAATAATTGAATTCCGGAGAAAAATATTATTTATGAAAATAATTAATGTCTTGTGAAAAATTTTATTCAAATTTTTTTAAATAATTGAATTTTCGAGAAAAATTTTATTATTTATGAAAATAATTGATTTCTTATAAAGAATTTTATTCAAATTTTTTTAAATAATTGAATTTCCATAAAAAATTTATTATTTGTGAAAATAATTGAATTCTTAAGAAAAATTGTATTGAAAATAATTGAATTATATAGGAAAATTTTATTAAAATTGCAATTTTATTAACTAAATCTTGTAAAGAATTTTGTCAACATTTTTTTAAATAATAGAATTTTTAAATGAAGTTTATTTAAATTTTTCGAAATAATTGAATATCTCAGAACTATTTTTTTTGGAATTTTCTGAATTCATTAAAAAATTAAAAATAATCGAATTGGTGCGAAGAAATTTATAAAAAATTGATAAGTACAGAATTGACTTTCTGTGAAATTTTTATTAATATTTTGTTTAAATAATTGAATTCTTTTGGAAAATTTTATTAAAATAGTAGATATTATAAATAATTCAAATAAGGAAAATTTTTGAAAATAATTAAAATTTTGCCAAGAATTTTAATAAATTTTTTGAAAATAATTGAATTTCGGAGAAGAATTTTATTATTTATAAAAATAATTGAAATTTTAATGAGAATTTTTTTTTAATTTTTGAACATAATTAAATTTATGCGAAGAAGTTTATCACTTTTGAAAATAATTGAATTAAATTGAATAATGAAATATTAATAAAAATTCTTACTATTTTGTAATTCAATTATTACCTATTATTAATATTAGTTACTTGTAAATTAGCTCTAAATTTTTAAATAATAGGTAATAAAAAATTTCAAAGTTTCAAAATTTATAATCATTCAATCATTTTTAATTGCCACGAATTTATAAAAAGAATTTTAATTTTGTTCTATTCTTGACAATAATAATAATTAGATGTTATTTAATTATTGAATCGTTAATTTCGAAAAGTGTTCAACTCTGAAAACCGTAAGAGTAATTTTCACTATTATTCGTCATTTGAAAATGACTTACGGTTTTCAGAGTTGAGCCCTTTTCGAAATTAACGATTCCAATTAAACTTTGGAAATGTGCAATTGAATTTATTCTCAATAATTTAACTATAGTTAAATTCAACAAAATTTAATAAATTATAAAATAAATATTACGTTAGTATTTAATGAATAAATAAAATTATTTTTGCAAAAATAATTGATTTAGCAATTAATTTTAATTATAACAATTCTCAAGAAAAGTTACAATTGCAATTTTTTGGAAATAATTGTATAGAATTCAGGGATTAATCTAAAATGCTTTGAAAGTTTAAATTGATGAAAAATAATTTTTTGAATAATTATTCAAGTTTTGAATATTTTTAATAAAAATTCTGAAAAATTTAGTTTTGGAAAAATAAAATTTACTCTCAATTGTGTTTTTTAAAATAATTGAATTTTGAAAATATTTAGTTGAAATACAAATTGAATTAAAAATATTTTTAAGTTCGTAAGAGTTACAAATAAGATTTTTGAAATATTTAAATAATTGTTGAATTTTTGTTTGTAATATATTTTATTATATTTATATTTTATTAATATATTTTAATTAATTAGTTAATTATTTTTAATTACGAACGTATAAACCTTAATTATTCTTTTTAGTCAAGAAATAGAAAATTATAATAATTTCAATTATACATTATAATTATTTTGTTTTGTAAAAAGCCTAAATACAAAATAATTTTTAAAGAAAACGGTTTTAACAAAAAGCAAATATATATTATAATTATAATTGTGCTGTAAAATTACTTTTGAAAAATAATTTTCATTTGCAAATTCCAATGAAAATTACTTGCAGTAATTAAAGACTTTAAAATAAATCTACGATTGTTTAACACAAAAAATAAAAATTCGTTAAATAATAATAATAGAATATTTCAAAAATAAATTTTTTTTATCCCTGGAGTTTTATTTTATACGAAAAAAATCTTTTTACCAATCATTGCAAAAATGTCTGACTGGTAAGTGGAGCCTTCAAGGTGATGTTCTTTCGGTTTATCCTTCACTCCAAAAACAAAACTGACTGCTAATCCAAAATAAGCTCCGAATACGTGAACGTACATACTGTCACCGGCATCAACAGCCTGAAATGTACAATTTTTATTTATTATTATTTTTTCTATTTTCGAACAACTTTCATCGCGCAAAATATATATTTTTTTTACTATTTTTGCATTTTCCATGTATGTCTCAATAATCCTTCAATTTTTGTGCTTTTAGAAGCTTTTTCGATTTTTTTTTCATTGCTTTCAGAACTTTCTGATGCATAGGAAAATGTTTCGAATTTGAAAAATTCTCCTTTTTCAAATTTATATTTAATAATCTATTTTAATGTTATATAAAATTATATATATTGTATATATTATATATATTATTATATATTTATTGTATTATTATATTATTATACTATATATATTATACTATTTTGTATTATCTCGACTGTATTGTACAGAATTTTTTTTTTTTAATTTAATTTTAAAAGTATATATATTTAAATATTAAATTTTAGTAGATGACAATTTATATATATAAATATCGATGTGTGATTTTAATTAGAGGAATTAGTTGAGTTAACTACTGTTATTATCCCGTCTACGTGTATAATGGAAGTGATGGTGTCGGAAACACGCTTACCATCAAGTGATGTTCGCCGATGTATTTGTTTGCCGTGTACATGATTAGTTCAATTATTCCCATGATGATAAGTTGCATATATGTTGTTTTACCTAGAACGGCTCCCATGGATATTAGAGGCGCTGCAACTGCTACGTCTGCACTGAGTAATCTGTCAGATAAGATTTCCAATCATTTATTTATTTTTATTATTATTATTGTTTTGTATTAAATTCAATATTTCATGTGCGTGAAAATATTAAATAACAATTTACAGTGAAGCATTAAAAGTATTCTATATTGGGTATCACTTTTAATTGAAATATAATTTAAATTATATATTTATATAGGTAATACAATATTATAATATTAAAATATAATAATATATAAAATACTTGTATATTATGTAAATAATTATTTTATAATTATATTTAAATTATTTACTTATTTTCATAGAGACAGCCAAAGAAATGATTTTTAATATAGAGATAAAATAATATCTAATTAAAAATTTATTGAATATCAGGGTTGCCACGGATCAGGGAAGTCAGGGAATTCAGGGAAAAGTCAGGGATTTTTATTAAAAGTACTGGAAAAAATTTAATATTTAGAATTCATAAGAAAATTCTGAATTTCAGTGTCTTTTTTGTTTGCCTCATAAACTAGGATATTACCACGAATTCTAATACAAAACCTTCAATTTTTTCTATTTCTGATAATAATATCTTTTTAAGTAACTTAATTCTTGAGCAACTATAATAATATTATTACTTATAAATTATTTAATGAATAATAATTTTACTTAAAAATTTCAAAATTAATTTGATTTCAAAAGAATTGCGTTTACAATTTTCATAAATAGATGAACTTTAAAGATTTCAATTTGAAATTATAGAAAATATCAATTTTTAATGAATTTAAATAGAAATTTTAAGAACAACTGATTACAGAAATTCGATTATTTTCAAAAGTGATAAACTTCTTCGCAAAAATTCAAAAATTTAAAAAACTTCTCATTAAAATTTCAATTATTTTCAAAAAATTTAATAAAATTTCTTGGCAAACTTTTAATTATTTTCAAAAATTTTCCTCATTTCAATTATTTATAATATCTACTATTTTAATAAAATTTTCCAAAAGAATTCAATTAATTAAACAAAATATTAATAAAAATTTCACAGGAATTCAATTACTTATCAATTTTTTATAAATTTCTTCTCACCAATTCAATTATTTTTAATTTTTTAATAAAGTGTCTCGAAAAAATTCAAATATATTCAGAAAATTCCAAAAAAATAGTTTTGAGATATTCAATTATTTCGAAAAATTTAAATAAACTTCTTTTAAAAATTCTATTATTTAAAAAAATGTTGACAAAATTCTTTACAAGATTTAGTTAATAAAATTGCAATTTTATTAAAATTTTCCTATATAATTCAATTATTTTCAATACAATTTTTTTTTTAAGAATTCAATTAGGTATTTTCACAAATAATACATTTTTTATGGAAATTCAATTATTTACAAAAATTTGAATAAAATTCTTTATAAGAAATCAATTATTTTCATAAATAATAAAATTTTTCTCGAAAATTCAATTATTTAAAAAAATTTGAATAAAATTTTTCACAAGACATTAATTATTTTCATAAATAATATTTTTCTTCGGAATTGAATTATTTTCACAAATAAAATTCTTCACAGGAATTCAAATATTTTAAGAAAATTTTAATAAAATTTGTTGCAAGAATTCAATTATTTTCATAAATAACAAAACTTATCTTAGAATTTCAATTATTTTTTGTACAATTTTAAATAAAATTATAGAAAATTCCATTTATTCTTAAAATTTGTTTTTAAATTCGCCGAAAGAATTCAATTATTTAAAAAAATTTGAGTAAAATTCTTCATAAGACATTAATTTTTCATAAATAATAAAATTGTTCTGAAGAATTTAATTATTTAAAAAAATTTGAATAAAATTCTTCACAAGAAATTAATTATTTTTATAAATAATAATATTTTTCTCCGGAATTCAATTATTTTCAGTTTTCACAAATAAAATAAATTCTTCACAGGAATTCAATTCTTTAAAAAAGATTTTAATAAAGTTCGTTGCAAGAATTCAATTATTTTTATAAATAACAAAACTTATCGCAGAATTGCAATTATTTTTTGTACAATTTTAAATAAAATGATAGAAAATTGCATTTATTCTTAAATTTTTTTTTTAAATTTCACCGTAAGAATTCAATGCTTTTTGAAAATTTTTTATAAAATTTTTCATAAAAATTTAATTATTTAGTAAATTGTTTATTTTTGTATTTAAATAATTGAATTCTCGAATATTCTTACGATATAAAATTATAAAGTAATGATTTTATCACTCTGTCATCTTAAATCTAGTTTTTGAATAATTTTACAATTAAAGAAATTCATAAATAAATGTAATACAACATTTTTTTGAAAAACTAATAATTTTTGAAGTGAATTAGAATAATCTTCAGGGTCAGGGAAAAAGTTAAAATTTTTTCTGGAAGTCGCAGGGAAAAGTCGAGGAAAAACAAAATTAAATTTTTGTGGCAACCCTGAATAAAGATTTCCAATCATTTTTTAATTAATAATAATAATAATATTATTATTAATCAATTTCATTTGAGAACTAATAAATTCCAATTTATTAAAAGAATAAAAAATATTTTAATAATAAGAATAAGAATTATTAATTAGTGCGTGAAACGCGGTTTTCATTTTTATTATTATAAAAATTATAAAATTTATGTATTTTCAAATATCAAATTTCATTTTCGAATAATTTCAGTATCATAAAATTTAAAAAATGAACTCATTAAGTGAATAATTAATCATTGTTGTTTATTATTTTCAAAAATTCTAATAAAATTCTTCACAAGAATTCAATTATTTTTATAAAAAAAAAAATTTTTCGGAAGAACTCAATTACCTATTTTTATAAATAGTATAAAATTCTTCACAGGGATTCAATTATTTTTAATTCAATTTTAATAAAATTTCTCGAAAAGATTTAGTTATCTCTAAAAATTTTACGAAAGAATTCAATTATTTTCTAAAATTTTAATAAAATTTTCTGACTAATTTTTATAAATAGTACAATTTTTCGCAAAACTTAAATTATGTTTTAATTTTAATAAAATTTTAATATAATTTCTTGAAAGGATTCAGGTTATTTTTAAAAATTGTAATAAAATTCTGATAAGAATTCATTTATTAAACAAAAATTTAATAAAATTCAATAAATAATTAAATTTTCAATTACAATGATATTACGATTTATTATTTATTAATAATAAAATTCTTCTATTTCGCAAAAAGATAACTTAAATACTCAATTATATGTAATAATTTATATGAGAAGAATATTGGTTTTAATTGATAGCAAAAAATGTAATATTTTATTTAGATTATTTAAGAAATAAAAGAAATTATCACTTGACAATTTTTCATTCATGAATACAGAAATGATAAGGCATATTTAATTCATTTATTCTTTCATTAAAACTGCTAACAGTAGAAATTATTTTAAATAAAATATTGTATTAATAAATAATATTATAAAATATAAATATAAAAAGCTGATTGATTTTCATTGAAAGAAAAAATTTATTTCTTTTAAATTATTTAACAAATACAAAAAATTGCTGACTTAAAGATTTTTTATAAATGATTGCAATCATAATTACATATATTTAATTAAATTATTTCATTATTTCATTAAAATTTCCAATGAAAGAAATAATTTTATGGAAGAGACAAAGTGTTATCGAATTAAAAATTAATTGATAAAATAAAGATTTCCAATCACATAATTAGAAATTATTACGAATAAAGAGATAAATTTGTTTGTAAATATAATTATTTTGTAAAATAAAAATTTTTTTTACAGCAGGGAAAAGAGAATGTCGCGTCGCACTAAACTTTGACTTTACTACTGAAAGTGAAGTAATTACTTAAATAAATTTTATTTCTATTTTATTTTAATATTTAATTTTTATGTTTACTTTTGTATTTTTTTAATTAAATTTAAGTTGTAAATAAATAAATAAGAACTAAATAAATTTTTTTTTGCTTTTTTTGCTTATAATCGATTACTTGTCTATTATCAAATAAATATTTACCAATTTACCTGAATAAAATAATTTTTATTTTAATCAATTAAATTGTATTTGAATCAAATACGGAAATTATTGGTTCAAATACCATTTATTTGATTCAATCAAAAATTATTTGATAATTGATTATTTCAATTAAATAAATTTGTTTTTCAGTGTAATAATAATTTAATAATAATATAATACTAATAAAAATAAAAACACAAATGTGATATAACTTTTAAACTATATTCGTAATTATTTAATATTGAAAAATATTATCTTTCTCATAAATTTTTATTATTTGAAGGATTTTTCTCTCTGCTAAAATTCCATTTCATTAAAAAGGTAACAATAATTAAAGACCAATTATTGTAGAATTGTTATTCAATGCAATTTATTATTTATTAATTGACATTAAATGAATTTTCAATTCGTATTTCAATATTTAGCTTTTCAATAATAAGAGAAACAAACTTTTCAATATTTATTCAATTATAGTTCAGTTCAAAGCTCTTGAAAATAATAAAATTTCCACTATTATAATTTATCTTATTAGCAATCAATTCACAGTTTGTCAAACTTGAAAAGCGTGGAATGAAACAAAATTATTTTTACGTGCATTATTTTACATTTAATGAAATGTGTATTTTATAAAATTTGTCACTTGACTGAAATATTTGACTGATTACACGTTCAATATATAATTTATGTTATTTGTCTCTTTTGACTCGGGCGATTAATTTGTAAATTGCAAAACCGCAGAATATAATAATAATAATAATAAAAAAATTAATGCATAATTTATATTTGTATTTTGTATACTTCATAGGAATATGATTATTGAGATTTTCGATGCTACATTGCATGGAGCAAAATAAATTCACATATAAAATTTTATAAAAGTGTTTTACAATTTAGGGAGAAAATACGACAAAGCGAAATTTTGATGAAAAATAAAATAAATGAAATAAATGAAAAATATAAAGAATAAATGTTAAATTTTATAAAATTACTTTGCAATTTAGAGGGAAATGGTTTGGTT